GTGAAATTATGCTAATGCTTAAATGCTTGTATGGAAGTGGAGGGGCAGAGACGAACGGACGTTTCGCTAATCAAATAAACAGGACACGCTTTTGTGCCAAACAATAACTCAGAACAAGTTAGAAGGCAGCAGTCGAGTGTCAAAACGACTCTACAATGCTCTGCATTCACTATTTTGTTGGTTAATAATGCTTAGATATAGCAATTATTAAATTTAAGATATTATAAGACTTTCAAGAATAAATGTAAGATGGGCAGGGCAGGGAGATTACTGGAACAATCATCAATGTTCGGTACTCAAGCAGCCTGGAATATGGCCTACAAGTTTAAATTGTGTTGGCCATCTACACAGTTCTAACATTACAGTCCTAAAACCTGATCTAATATATCTGGACATCATTGTCAAAAAAAAAAAAAACACAGTCATACTTATTACTTATGCTAGCATGCGAATCATCAAAAACCCATATACCCTTTATCAATTCTATTGGAGGACAGCGAAAAACAAACCAAAACAAAGAGAGTTCTCCGGGATGAGCCAAAACTTGTTGTGCAACAAATGTATTGGCGCAGTTTTGATTGTTGTTGTTGTTGTTGTTGTTGTTGTTGCAGAGACTTGCTTGTTGTTGTCAACAGATGTACGCTGGCATTGGCATTACCCGAAGCAGACGACGGCACTTGGCTTTGGCATCTCTTTGACTTTTCAATATGACAATTCTTAATATTCTGCTGCTGCCTGCAACTTGTTTGCTGCAACTTCTTCTCTTTTTTTTTTTTTTTGTTTTATTATTATTGTTTGTTGGCAATACCAACAGCCAGCGACCAGTTGGCGACGACACTGACGACGACAACGACGGCGACAACGGCGAAGTAGACGACGACTGTCATAAGCTGCACGTTTTACGCTACAGTTGGAGAATCTCAACAATTTTAAAAGTGTGCATTTATGCCAAGTGGCATCTTCTTGGCGGCCCAGTCGACAGTCAGTAGTCGGAGTTGGAGTTGGAGTCGTCGTTGCAGTTGCAGTTGTCGTTGCAATTTTCGATGTCGTCGTTCACTTCTTCTTTTTTCCACTGTGCGTTTATTAATTAGCAGCCAGTCAGCCAACAAGTGGACACAGATACACAGACACACACACACTCATACCCATACACAGAGACAGCGAGGCACACTTGTACATTTTTCCTTCAATTAAAAATCACAAACAGCATTTCAGACTCTGCCCCGTCGTCGTCGTCGCCGTCGCCGTCGTCAGTCAGTCAGCCAGTCAGTCAGGAAAAGAAATTGTTTAAAAGGCAACAGGTTGCCAACAGTTGGCAGCTTCTGTTAGTTTTTTTCTCCAATTGCCGCTATTTGTTGTTGCCTTTTGGGAGTTTGGCGAGGCTCCAGGCACACAGGTGTGGTCATTGCTCAGCGCTAATTCAGCATTTAAATGTTTAATTTCTGAGCATTAGCATTAATTTGATTGGGGATGCATGTAACGATAGATTCAAGGAAAAGGCTAAGGTTATTTGATTTCCGAGAGAAAGCTCAACAAGTAAGTTTGGCTAAAACCTTTTAGGGTTAATGAGCGGGACAGAACATTACACACTTTTTCTGAAAATGTTAACACAAGCAAATGCGCGTATATGTACACTTTTAGAGACTCTGTACGTATGCTAACTATTGACAAAATTATCTATATATGTATAGTCAGGGGAGGGATTATCTTGGGCTTCTTCACTGATCGTCGCTTTCTGCTTGGAAAAAATTGGAGTTCTGGGAAGAGAACAAACTTCATGGAGCTATATCTGCAGAATATGGGGATCTGAACAAGTACCTTCGTTATTATCTCCAACTGCACGCATCACTCTTCTTTTTGAAAGTTTTGACACAATCCGAGCCAAGACGCGTTCCATGCCTTAAAATATTTAAGCAAAATATCTTCGCACTTTCACGAATGCCGTTTGTAGAGCAACATTTTCTTCACTTTATTGATAATATGTTAACAACCAGATTGAAGAAACCCATTTTTGAGCCATCTGTACCACTCGAAAGTCCTTCTGTGTAGGTTGCCTGCAATATTTTAAGCGAATCGGCTCATAAAAAGTTCTTTCGTAACAAACAATTTTAGACAAATTAAATATTAATTTGCAGATCTTCCTTTCTGAGAGTAAGAACCAATACTATGACAAATGTCAATCAACATAATAAAAAATTAAAGAAATAGATAACTTTTCGATCACATGATCAGTTCGAATAGTTAGTCATAGTTCCAGGTTTTCTTTTAGATATTTTTCTGAATAAAAATGGATCACAATAATTTATGTACAAATAAGCAAATTATTATTACTTAATTATGCTTAAAATTTAAGTAATCAGGAAGTAAATAATCATTCCATGAAAGCGTTAAAAAATACACTTAAACTAATAGTAAAATCCTTTGCAACATACTTAAAATGGATTTAGGAAACATTTTAATAATTATATTTAAATAATGATATGCACATTGATATCATCTCAGACCTTTGAGAGCTAATCTTTTAAATAAGACCCACACTGCTGCATTTGAGTGCTCAGATGTTTGATCTAAAGAGCCTGCTGCATGCAAATAAGCCACAAACCTGCTATGATTCAATCACTTCTCATTAAGCAATGGATCATTTAATTTTTCATCATTAATGAGTGACACGATTAGGCTGCTGTGATGAATAGTCCATCATTTGCTCATCAGGGATCTAGGCTGCTTTAAATACTACTCAACACTCTGATTATTTTTAGCATATTCTATTAGCTTCAGCTTGCCCTTCGGCAGCCTAAACGAGTGCTGTCTCTATAATCTTAGTACATTGCTGTTAATGCTGCCGCTGCCCAGCTGTAGCGTCTGGCCAGGAGGAATAAACCCAATCTGCAGCTGCTTCCGCACACTTCTACTCATTGTGATTAAATCCAGCGCAACTAATAAGCCACAAACTGCTGACTTAAATCCTTTTATTCGGCTCCCCACATAATTTCTGCTACCAAAATATCCAAGACACAAGCGGTACGGTCTATAAATCAAAACAATAACGAAGCAGACGCCGGAGCGCAGATTGAATGGCCACACCTTGAAAAAATAAGCAAAAGGATTAAATTTTCTTTAAGGCAACTCCTACAGACGTGGCGCAAAGGAAATTTAAGTTCTAGCATACACCTTTTTTGTGTTCTTTTTTGAATTGTCTGAGGATTAAATCCTTTACGCCTAGACGAAATGCATCCGCTGCCTACACACACACAAACACACACATACACACACAAACACACTATTAGAAAGGAGACAAGACAGACGGCCAGCCTACTGCGGCTTAGGCTTACACACAAAAAAAGGAATCCCGAAAGAATCTCAAAGATGTTTGCGTTGGCATGCAGCAGCGTTTTTTCGCTTTGTCTTTAAAAAACACAGCATGCTCTAGTTTCCCCCACTCCTACCCTTCAGTTGCCGCAGCCCCGCGTCCTCATCAAAGTCCTGGCACTTAAAACGCTCAAGAAAACACATCATGGACTCCGCTCCCATTCATCATACTGATCGTATGGTTCAGTCTATTTTCATCTTGGCTATTTTTCGGAAATTAAAACGTCTACTCCTACTATTTGCCGGCGAGGGTTCGTCTTGGTTTTTTAAGACAACCCTCCAACTACACACACACACATACGAGTATCTATCACACATGCCGTCGTCCCGTCATCGATGATGAATGTGCGCGTTCGCCGTCTCTAATTCAATTTATTTTAGACAAAGTCAGCCTTGGCGCATGGCCTCATAATGGATATAATGGTTTCCACAGAGCCTATATCGTCTTAGCTGTTGTCTATGCTTTTGAACAAACTTTGCCTCCGTTGAGTGGCAGCTGTCCTTTGATGATATTTTTTATTCGCCTGTTGTCATTGTCAGCAGTCAAGGCTGCAGCGGGAGGTATGAACGAAGACAGGCTTCACAAATTGCTTGTGCGCTGATACGGAAGCGATTTAAGTTCCTTAAAACGATTCATTTCTGACAAGATGACTAGCAAAAACTATTAGATTTTGATATAATGCCTAGAAAATATGACTCGCCAAATAAATACTATTTAGATATTACGTCGTTTCTTTTTAGATTTTGATATAACGCCTAGAAAATATGACTCGCCAAATAAATACTTTTTAGATATTACGTCGTTTCTCACTATAGTTGTCGTTTCACACGCACACAAGTTAATCCTTTCTTAAATATGATATACATACTACGAAAACTCATGAGACGTAAGCAGTTGAAGACAACAATCAAATATTAGTGATACAAAAATTAAGGAATATATTATAATTCTCTCAATATTCTTTACTATGTCAATCGATTAGAGGTTTATCTTTCTTCAACTTTCTTAAAAGGTATAACAATTTCAACTTTTATTGAAAGTATTCTGCTATGAAAGTTTCGTATTACATATAATTATGATCCAAAAAAATGATATAGTTTATTTATCGTTTTACATAAACCCAAGCTGATCATTTTTAAGAAGAATTGTGAGTTTAAGAACAAAATAAGAAATATGGATGACTTGGATGGCTTGCCTTAGAAATCCTGAAAAATTCTAAAGATAAATATTGAATACTATTGTTGTATGAAAAGAATGGCTGGTAGCTATTTTTAGAAGCGCGACGCTTCTCATTATAAAGAGTAGAACTCATCGAAGCATCGCTGGAAAATGTGTACATAGCAAGCTGGAAGGGGATTTTATTGTTTTTTTTGTGTTTTCGTTTTAAGGTCGTGTTTATTTTAATTTTTTAGGAAAGTTAAATAACAATCCTAATTTATTTCGGTGAGTTGCCTTATTTTTTATCATTTTAAATTTTCCACATTTTATAATTTACTGCCTGTTTTATTTTTCAAAACGGTATTGCCTTTGAATGTATTGCGAACCAATAATTGTAAACGATTCAGTTTAGTTTAAAACACCCTCACACACACACATAACTTTTCAGTTTCCAAATTAAAAACTCTTCCAATTTTGTGCTAAAATTGTCTTTTATTATCATATCCGCAATTTGCTTCTAAAATCATTTTATTACAGCTTAGCTTAAAATATTAAAAAATGCTATCGATTTAACATTTCTACATTTAATGACGTGTATCTCTTCTTTTTGTTAATTTAAAAAACTACATTTGGTTCTGATAGTCCCAACACTGATTAACATTTCAATTGTGTTTATTGTGGAATTGCGTTGAAAGTGTTCAGATCTCGAGTATTTTAGGTTTAGGTATCTCCAAAGTTGGCAGCATTTCTCTCCATGAGAGTTGCAGGACTGGGCGCCCGACTAGTGGCCGGACTGCTTCCGGGGGGCGTGGCGTCCGGACTGCAACCAATCGGCACCAGCAGGGGACCCATTGGGCGACGAGCGCGCGGAGCACCACGTGTCCCACGACTCACGGGCATTGCAGTCTTCGAACGCGGTCGTCCAGGTCCACGCTTGACCGCAGAACTTGTCAGAGCTGTGACACTGGGCTGGGCTAGCAGTACGGCAGTTACATCTAAAACGAAAGATTGAAAATGGTAAATAAATAATTATTGCTATGAAATCAGCTCTTGATAAAAAAAGCGATATTTAGAAGGGAATTAAAGAACAAACAATTGCCAATACTTTGGTTTTATTTACTTTTCAATAAGTGGAATATTAGAAATATATAAGTACACCTAATTCTGTTTTTACACGGTAGATTGGTTCCAGAAAAAGTCGGGTAAAAAACACACCGTGCTTAATGGAATAAAGACGTGCAACCATATAAAAAATATTTCATTTTCAAATCGTGTTAAATCCAAATCGTGTAAAAAAGAATTAATACATAGTAAATAAACTAGTTTACCATTTTCCCCTTTTGCTATACAAATATTTTATATTGAATAAAATCAAATTTAATGAATTAATAATTTACTGTCATTTGCAAGAAGAAATTCCATTTTCTATTTATCAGTTTATCTATCTTCTATCCGGTCTGTTCCCACAAATTTCAAGTTTCATGAAAATCTTAATTCTTAAGTCTTATATTAAATTAACAATTAACTTATATGGTTACAAAAACGGACTGTAAAACCATCAGGGCAATCAATTCCTCCCACATTGTTTGATCGAATGAGGAAATTTAAATGAAAGTCCTGGCTAGCTAGCATTTCTCTAAAACATGCCTGCTCTCCCGCAACATTTCAGCAAATTTTCAAATATTTTTCCCACCAACTTCAACACAGCAACTATTGTCGTTCCAGTTGCATGCAAATTTCACAAAAAAGAAGAGAAGAGAAGTGATACAGGAGTCGACAACATTGTCGCTAATGCCGTCAGTGTTTGCCAAGCCACGTTGCTCGTCCTGTGCGCGTATCCTGCACCCCTGCCTGTTTGTTCAACGGATTTGGCAAACAATGTTGCATACATTTGTGCGTAACTTGTGCAGTTTTTAATTGCTGGCACATTGCCAAATGCCGACGCCGACAACATCGTGGTTAAGTGGCATTTATGCAACGTTGCGTATTTGTCGTTGCGATTATGCCTCCATTTGGCATGTGTCGGCAAAGTGTTCCTCTTCCTGTTTTCCTGTCTTCTGTCACGTGTTTTCCACTGACGCCCGCAGCAGTGTGTCTGAGCCGTTTTAAGCCGATTTACGCAATTATCATTTGTCGTTTCAATTTGACATGTGCACCAAAAAAAAAGAAGTTAAAACGCGCACATATTCAACGAAAAATCTCTAGATTTTTCAAAAATGGGAAATTTTCATTCAATTCCGTTATGTGCATTAATTTTTGGCTTTAAACGGTTTTACACACAGGCCCGCATAATTTGCCAAATGGGCAGCTGTTAGTTGTTGTCTCAATTAACAAACATCGATAATTGCAGAAATGTATTTGAATTGGAAACGCGTTTATTTACGTAATTGGTACGTGCTTGAGCAAACACTTTAAGAATTAAATGGCCTATGGAAAATGGCTGGAAAATATTACACTATCTGCCATACAATATGTATTTAAAAAGATGAGACGCGTCTCAGCCAGTTCTGCGCTGTGTTGGTTTGCTGTCAAAAATTTTGGAAATTAAGGAAGCAGACTGGTAACTTCGATCAAGATTGACCACAAAAGAGCTTAAGTCCAGAAGAGGCTGGATCGCAAATAAAAGACAAGGGATTGAATTTCCATCTGCGAATCATTGGCAAAACGGAATAAAATCGACTCATTTCTGTAGATGGAAAATGGGCTGAAACACTGGATTCGAATCTCTAGTGTTAACAATGAAACCGTTTGAGACTAGTAATTGCCAAGAATCGACCGGATCCACAAAGCATTAAAGGTCTTAAACCTTCAAGCTAACATTTACAGATTATCTCCCACCTTTTAAAAATAAATTAATGAAATGCAACGTTTTGTTTTATAAAATAAAAAGTATTTGGATGAAAGTATTATGACAAAAGAACCGATCAAACGATCATTATTCCCGCCTGATCAACATTTTTAGGCAGAATATATTTCGGAATACAGGGTGCGTTATATTTTCTGAAACTAATGTGCAGCTTATATAAAAAATTAGGTTGTCTATATCTCGGAATTAGCTGATTCAGCCAAATTTCTACTTTATTTTTCACCTATTTTTTTTAAAGGAACCTATTTTCCATCTGCCATCAGAGTATAGCAAATTTGTATATCTTTTGATTTCCTGCATTAAACAGATTAGTTTCAGCGAAAAGTTTACAAATAAATTCTAGCATTCTTAGAATACAATAATCATCTGCTGCAGTCCCCTCTCCAAAGCACACTTTTTCTAATCATTTCGGAGCATTGGAAATTCTACCGTTAGCTCAAAACACATTCCACCGAAGGGCGATTTCAATCAACGATAAGAAGCCAGATGTAAATCTTTAAACAAACATTTAACTTGACTTGAGCTCTCATAGCAGGGGTAGCCAATAATGCCCCGAAAAAAAAGGGAGAGCAATGAGATATACACTTGTGGGGGGAGGGGGGAGAAAAGTGCAGTTAAATAATAAAAGTGCTGTGTTTCAAGCCGCAAAAGGCATGCGCTAAAATTGTCACGTACTACAAAAGTTGAACCCCAAAAACATAATGCGGGCACGGTACAAAAAAAGGAGGAAGAAAAGTAAAACTGAAAAAGAGGGGGAGCCGCAACCACAAAGCGGTTCAGATAACGCTTCTCAAGTGCTCGATTGTTCGTTGTTGCGAGGGCGGCGGTGGCGGTATGGGGGCGGGGCTGTACTTGAAGGCTTGCCGGAAATGTGAAAGAACGCCACGCTGCAGCGCGATGCAACAAACGTGATTATGACAACGATTAGTGAGACAAGTGACACTCAAAGGTAAGGGTTCTTACACCCCACACACCATGAAGCATGGACAACAGTCTGATATTTGTAAGCATAAAAGAATTAAGCATTATGCTTTGAAGTAGTGTTTTAAAATAATTTAAAATTCATTTTATGTAGCCATGGTCTGTATTTTTAGGAGTTCTTAGGACTTACCTTCTTCGTTGGCTGGCATTTGTGTAGCGCCCTCAACTTCCGACTGCGGCAACGGCGAGGTTCCTGTGGAGGTCGGCGTCAGGACACGCTGCAGCGATCCATGCCCACCTCCGCGTCTGGTGCTGCCACGTGGTCGGCCGCGTTTCGTGCCGCGCGGATGATGGCGTCGCCGGGCTGGCGAAAAGCTGCTAAAATCGTTGAGGAAGTCTGCAAACGGCAAAAGAATAATGGTTTTATTGATTAATTACGAACATGCTTCGATTGGTTTATGTTTATGGTTCGAGCCAAGCAGCTGGCACGAAGCAACTGGCAACTGTTGTCCGCTCGCCCGCAAAACAAACATAAAAAACTCAACGACTTATTGTCGAAAATTGTTACATTTGCTTTTTCTTGGCGACGTTTGTGCATTTCCATTTTCCTTCTACCGCACATTAATCTAATTTTTCTATATTCTAGCGCTGGCATAAAAATGCCGTAAAATTTCATTTCAACGCTCTGTAATTATTGGTGTGTGTGTGTAAGATGGCAGCGGGATGTGCGCCTTGTGTTTGATAAGGATCTGTGGCAGACACTGTGCGCGGTTTATCTTCTTGAGCAACAGAAAAAAGTGGTTAAGGTGCGCGTTTATGCCTTTGGAATTACTCCTTACTTCCTTCCTACTTAATTACAGGGTTTTTCAAGGTTAGAGTCGCTTCAGATCGTTCATGATTATACAACACTAAGAGTTTTCTAAGCTCTTCTTTCTGTTTAAGAGTTTTTAAAGCTAGAATCGCGTCAGATTACACAACACTGTAGCTTCCTAAATTTTAAAAACCAAAATTTGGGGAACACTTTATTTCCTAAAAACCTAGTATATTATAATTTATGTCTTATTTCATTTTTATGATTTTCTTCAGATAGCTTGAGCTGGTGGTCTGGATTAACGGACTAATTAAAAAATCTTCTCTAATAAATTTATTTTGTTTTACTATTTATTTGTATAGTATTGAAAAATGTTCCCTTTGAACTAATCGTAAAATCGTATATGAGTATGATATTTTTCCCATGAGATTAGGATTAAGTTTTCATTTTAGTAAATTTATTGGAAAAAGATTAAAGATTAGTATTTATGTTTTTCATGTTTCCTACCTAGCTGTTACATACAGGGTGCGCCATCTTTTATGTCGGTATGTAAACATTGAATATCTTTGAAAATAAACAACCGATTTTCAAGTATGAGATATTTTTATTTAATATGGTTCTGCACAATTTCTTCAGACTAATTTTTGAAAACAACATCAATCAAGTCAATCGGTTCACTAATGACAAAGTTATTCAATATTTACATACCGACATAAAGGTGGCGCACCCTGTAGTTGCTGCCCTACTGTACTTAATAGAGCATTCAGAATCCTCTCACTTGACTGCCGTCGTCATAACATTTGAATTCAGCTTCTTGACACATTTAACTGTGTCATGACCATATTTGATTTTTGAATGTGTTACATTTCAAACAAATTCTCAAGCTAACTGATGAGAATTCCTTTTTGTAGTTGTTGTCGTGCGGGGAGAACAGCAACAACAACAACAACAACAACAACAGCAGGAGCAGTAGCAGCAGCAACAAGAATAGCAACAATGTGAATGTGCATATTTTATTTTGAGTGGCGCACTCACTGGTTTGTTTACAATGTTTGTTGCTGTTGCGATTTTCGGTGGCAGTCGTTTTTTTCCCTTTTGCTTGCGGCAAACTTAACTGTAAATCGCATAAATAAAACAGACTCGAGCAACATTCATAGCAAAACAAAAAGTAACCAAACTGCAACACGACAAGAAGCAGAAGAAGCAGCAGCAGAAGAACTACAAGTACAACAGCAGCGACCGACTGACGACAATAGCAACAATGTTGCTGTTGTTGTTGCTACTGCAGATGTTGCTACAGCCACTGGCGACATTGCCGTGGCGCTTGCTATTTTGGTATGCAACACAAGTGCAGCAACATCATCATCATCCGCAACAACAGACGCAACCGCATGATCGACATGGTCGTCCAACCAACCACCACCAGCGATAATCATGTAACCAAAAGGTTGCAGCAACCGTCAGCAACAAGAATTGTTGGTCTTTGAGGAATTGTCAACAACTTTGTTGCCAGTGCTTTACAGCTCTTGTACAGTTTTATTTTCTCTCCTCCTTTTTTAATGAGTCGCTTCAAAGCGAAATAAATCAATCGACTTACTTAGTGCTGCGACTGACCCTCTTTTATAATTCCACTTGCAACTAAAACTGTGTTACAATTGCCAAAAAAAAACAAAACAAATGAATTCCTTTAAAGAAACAACAACACTGCAGAGGCAGCACGTGCTAGTTTATTGAATTTCATTCGGTTCGGCATAAGTTTTATCAATAATATTCAATCCAAAAGTGAATCCTTTTTCATACACAGCCAACACACAGCAACAACAAATACTATATATATGCGACTTTTTGGCAATTCGTTGCTGTTGTTTTTTCTATACTTATGTATTTCGGTCAAATGTAACGGCAATGCAGCAACACAACACAATATAATAAAACATTGGCAAAGTTTCGTTTTTTAGCATATTTCGCCTGTCAACACAAAAAGGGGGGGTGGAGGTAGGAATGTAAAGCAAAACGTAAAGTTCAATGCAAATGGCCGAAAAAATAGGTCGTAAGACTTTATGTTGAAATGTGGTGTTCGAGTTAAACTCAAACATAGCTCTGTTAGGCATTAAAAATATGTCAAAAACTGAGTTGAAATATTGAACAAATTATAAATTAATGATATTTCAAAGAGTCTACACATGTTGGCAGTTTCTTCTAGTCTATCATTTGATTGTCATCGTATTATTCTAGTGTTATTTCAATTATACCAAACAAGGGAAAAAATCTGGTCCCAATAATTATTTCAATAATCAGCGAATGAAATTGTTTTTGAATTCTTTCTTAAATGAAACAAACAAAAATTGAAGTTAATCGACTGAATAATGCAGATTTTGCATACAAACTAGGGAGTCCGTTTTACTCCTTTTGGAGTGTGAATTTTCTTGCTGCTCAGCTATACTGAGATATTAAACTTGTATCCAAATTTTGGCTTCACAGCTAATACCTCGATCTGCAATCAGTGCGTAAGTCTGAAGAAACTATTTCATATATACTAACATAGGTATAGTTTTATATTATTAATGCATAAAATTAGGGTAAAGCTGAGGTTTTTTAAATGAAATATGACAACATAACTTAAGAAATTAATAATGTCATCTTCTCCTGAGATTAAGAAATGGTTTTCCATTTCAAAAACGAAAAAAATGAGTTTCATTTATTGTGGGAAATAGTAAGTAGGCTAAAAGGATTTCCTTCATTTCGTTTTACCAGTTGTTTCAACGCCAGCTATTGGAATGGCCTGGAATTCAAGTTCAAATTATATTATCGAAGCACCATAGAAGTATTAAAGCTTTTTTAGCTGAATGGCTTTAACTGACTTTTTCGCTGAATTTTTTTTTCCAATACAGCTGTAAGTCTATTTCATGTTATAGTATATTACAACTTTTGCATTTAAATGTATGTTGCACGCAAATGTTTGCTCCTTTTTTATTTCAGTTGCAACCATCGTTATAAATAACAAATATGTTTGTTTCTCCTTTTACTGGCAACAACGATAGTTGTTGTGGAACTGCCGCCATTCTACCATATTGCACAGGAGCACGATAGAAAAGTTCAGGCAACTGCATGGCAATACATATCAGATAGTATATGGAAATGCAACCAGAAATACCCGTAAATTCATGCATGTGACTAAAGCTGAGCAGGCTTAAGAAAAAGAGAAGAATATCTTTAAGATGCACAAACAGGCAGCCAAAGCAAACTTCTTTGGGCATGGAGATGCGCGTATAATCGGATTTTACAAATCATTCATTCAATTATCTAATTGATTTGACTGATGATCATTTTTGAACCTTGATCCTGCCCTGCGCTCAACATCGTTTGCGGCCAACAACCAAAGTCAATGTGACGCATGTTTGTTACGCTTCATAAGCCACACGGCACAGCACAGAGCGGCACAGAGCGGCAGAAGCCGAAGTGGCAATCAAAGCCGTTGCTGCAGCAGCAAAGACTCAAGATGTGAGCGCTCTCCACTACTGTGGCAATATCTTATTCACCTTTGACTGTGCGACCATGACTGTCTTCTTTGTGCAACGCTTGGCTGGCAGGCGGCTGTGCGGCTGGACGGCTGGGCGGCTGTCTGGGCAGCAGCAAAAGATTTGGGCGCTTAGATTACTTTGCGCAACTTTGGCTTGACGGCTCAGCTGGCTACTGTTTTTGCTTGGCTACAGTGGAAGTCCCTCGTACAAGAATTATTTGCAGAGACCGGCTTTGTAACAAAGTCTTAAGTAAAGCGTTTCTCTATCAATCATTGCTAATTTAGGGTACGCTGATTAACTGAACAATAGACTTTTTACAACAAATTAGTTAGCTTTGATTATCCAGTCCAAAGGTGGGTGTTATGCCTTCTTCTGCATCTATATCTCCCATATTGCCGATGCAATGCAAATAAAGTCGATAACTCAAAAACAAATATCTCTATTATTCATATAGACATATTTCTATTCGATGGAGACGGAAATGAATTGTAACTTATTAACCAGATACCTCGTTTACTATCAATTGGCATGTGCAGTTAAATAGATTTTTTTTAATAGAAAGTGTATTCATTTTCTATTAATTTAATATATTGATAATTGTAGATCGATAGATAACTGTATTGTTGACAAATTCATTCCTTCAATTCAGGAAGCAAATTATCAAATTGTTTCTTAATACTTTTTTAAACAAAAATATTAAACCGAAGAAGAAAAATAATTATTATTTACGAAAATAAATTCAAAAATTATTAAAAATAATATACGCGTTAAAAAAAAAGGAATGAAATGTGCAAAAATATACGTTTTAGATGTTTGACAGTATGAACGTCTGGATTTTCGAAAGCATAGCAGCTTTAGCTTCAGAACTTGTTTTACCAACTATTTTTATTTATGGTTAATGTATATAAACATTTGGGTTTTAAAAACATGCGATTGTGTAAAGGACATTTACTAATAGGGGTACATTCTGGATATCGTTATATACGAATTGTGTATGGCTCCTGTTTTCGTAGTTGAAAAAGTGACAAAAGTGATATATAAATTGCAATATTAGATTGATGAGTTTTACAATTGAGTGTAACTATATCCTGTCAGTAGCCCAAAGAGTTTAAGTTTCGGTCGAGTTACGCACAATGAAAAATAGCCTTCGCTTTTCTCCCCATCGTCCAGAGAGTTTCAGAGAGTTGATTAGAAAAATAGTTGCGAACAGTTGTTTTATCTCCCATCTAACTATCATTAGAGAAGTCCCACTGTACTCGCATGTGTGTGTCTAAAGAAAATAAATTACGTTTTTGTTTGCATGTGAGAATAATTCTTAATTTGTTAGCGGGGATTTGCGCTGGCTTTAAGCACATGCCCAATGCCATTTCGTATTGTCAACTTTACAGTTGTAATTGCTTGGCGATTTGTAAAAAAAAAATAAAGAATATAGGAAAGACGCACACTGCAGTTAAGTTGTTTGTATTTGTTTTGTCATTAATTAATACGCAATATGAGAAAGCCGAAGATAGCAACCCAAATCTTAAACTAAAGCCATGCTTACAAACGGGTTTACCAATAAATAATAGGCTTCTGCAACATGCTTTGGGGCCCCAATTATAAATAGAAATATTCGTAGTCCGGTCTCGAGACGGGCTTCGCCAGATAAATAAGACGTATCTGGTGTAGGCGCCAGCCGCGTGGTGTAAACTTTTTTCGCGGTGGTGGCGGCACCTCCAGCGGCAATAGGGTCTTTGGTGGTATCTCACAGTGTGGTGGGAAGGGCGGCGTTACGCGCGGATTGGCCAAAGTTAGGATGCGTGGAGAGGGCCGAAATTTTAGAGCTCCTGGCCGTATGGGAAAACGCAAATTGGACCAAAATTCATTCTCCACATCTGGATTGACAAAACATTTTGGCTTCTTGACCAACTCAAACGGACGCCCCTTGTCATGAAGAGGCGGCCTTCCCCAGACTATTACGGGGGAATAGGTGGGCTTGTCATAAATATATTCATGCTTTTGATTCTTCTTGCGCTCGAGCGGTTTCGACAGCTCCTCCATTTTGTCAAGGAGATCGGCGAGTTCCTTTTTAGGGGGCGTACGGCCACATGGCAGATAATCAGCTTCACACGGTACCGGCAATGGGGGATATTCTTTTTCTTTCGGCCTCGCTTTTGTATCGGCCCAGGCACAAAATCGTTTCCAATCTTTCTTCTTCATGGGACCGGGTTTTTGCCATGGCGTTGGCTCCTTCACTACCTTGGGCCTAACGCGTTTGATGGGCTTGGAGTTGCGCTCACACCAGGCGTACCATTTGGGCATCGGTTTCTTTTTTTCCTCCGTAGAAGCCACATAATCAACACCACCATCGTGTGTGTTGTGCACTATATTGGTGCTCATGGCTTAACTTGGAATTTACAAAATGCTTACTTGAAATTTTGTACCAATTGTTAAAAATATAAATTTTTAATTTTTTTTTTAAATTGTTTAATTTGATGTTGTTACGGAAAAAACAAAACTGTGACTAACCGGAATGGTACGACGGGCAAGGCAAGGCATGTTTTGGCAATTCAATACAATATGGAATATTATTTGAAACATTTTTTAGATAAAACCATGAAATAGAATGAAATATAATGGAATCGAACAGAACACAGTGGAATATGTATAATAGAGGAATACTATTAACTAGATTGAAATGTAATGGAATAGAATGAAATATATTGGAATAAAGAGAAATAAAATGGACTAGAACGATCTACAATGGAATACAAGTAGATTGAACTGTAATGGAATAGAACAAGATGAAATAAAACAAAATTCTTCGCTTTCATTAAATATAAAAGCTAATTTAAAGACGCGAAGAGAACATTAATTTGTAAAGAAATTCCAAATTTTTTACAATTTCTGATTCTGCAAGCTAATTGATAATGGAGAATATATAACTTTCATGATATTCTAACTCATCTACAAATTCTAATCGTACAAGCTAAGTTATTGTACAATATAATTAAGACACAAGAGATTTTTAAGAATCTACAAAAATAATCTATAGATCAAAACTGTTGAAGATATTTCCTGAAAGCTCTACAAGTAGTCGGCAATAATACTGCTTGTATTAAAACTGTCCGTATTTATTAAAAAAAGAAACGAAGTGTACTAAAATATTAAAAATGTCTAGTGTGGCAGCAAATCCATAAGCAAGCGACGCTACACTGCAAAACAATTTGCTCCTTCACACTCATATCAAAAGTGATTGGGGAAATTGCTTAACAAGGTAGCGCTACTTGCTAATTTCCGCAGAACTTAGTTGTAACAACATTCATACGGATCATACTCATCACAATAGGAATCTTCCTCGCACTCGCCATACATTTCAGCCAGCTCGGCCAAGACACGAGCATTTGGCTTGGACAGATATTGGAGTCGCTGTTGATGATCCCGCCATTGCCGGGAGTTCATGCGTTTCCGTTTCGGCATTTTCACCTCCTCCTTCTTTGGAATACACTGTTCGTGTAGAGGTTTCGTTGGATACTGTTTGGGCTTGGCCAGTTTTACGATTCTTTTGGAGGCCGTTGCATGTTGGGCACGTTTCGAGACGGGGAAACGCAACTCTGACCAGAAATCGGCCTCGAGCTCCTCGTGCTGGAAACAACAGGGTACCACAGGCTTACAAACTGGCCGTGTGGGCTCGGGACGACGAGGTCGCAGGTTCTTTGCACTCTGAACAGGTCGATAGGGATAGTCTTGTGGACAGGAGGGTTCAACCTTTTGACGCGGCCAACGCGGTGTGCTTAATGTGGCCAAAGATGTTGGCTTGACTAGCGTCTCTTCACTGCATTGGGCTCTTGGCCTTTCAGAGTGGTGCTCCTCTGGTGGGAGGACAAACTCCACTGGCTGGGCATTCACCATCGCCCATTTGTAAAACTTGATCCAGTCCTGGCGTCTCATTGGGCCGGGCTTTTGCCAACGCGTCGGCTCCGGTCGGGCAGGCGGCAGAAACCTGGGCTTGGGCCTCGAGTTACGCTCACACCAATCGCTCCATGGTGGTTTCCGGCTACCGCTGCGATTGGAGTGGAGACTACTGCAAAACTTTGACATTCTCTACTAGGAATTTTGTGGGTCGTAGTGGGCCGAAAAGTTTTGAAACTGGTTAAAATGATGTTTCAAGAGTTTACGCTTAAATTTATAATTGTGGCTTAAATAATTTTGTGCTAGAGTTTTGGTGCTTTGTATGCGTTGGCTTTTAATCATGTTTGTCAAAGATTGTTGGATTTCAGGCAGGAGAATAATATTTTGTACAATATTGAGTGTTTAGCTTCGAAGTTAACGCAGAAGTCATGGTTTACTATATACGAGTGTTATGTGTTTCTACATCTATTCAAACATTTAGTTCTAGACAAAGTCTTTTACAGCAGCTATGTGTCTTTAATTTCATATTGTTTTAGGATTACAAATGACTTAACAATGCTATCCCTAGGGAGTTTAAAAGCATTCGTTGCTGAGATTTAGAATTAGCCCGAAATGAATAAAATCGACAGATTACAGATGTTTCCAGAACACATGTTTCTGAAACACATTTTTATAGAAAATATCTTTCTATAGCACATCTTCCTCGAGCACATCTCTCTAGAATTTATCTCTCTAGAACACATCTTTCTGGAACAGAGCTCCCTAGAGCACATGTTTCTGAAACACATCTGTTTAGAACACTAATAACATGGTTGATGAAAACAAATAACTCTAAATTTGTATAAAGTGAAATTGTAAAAAGAAAGAAGGATCTCTATCCAAAATATAAGAAAAATATAAAGTTTTTAAAATACAAGGAAGATACAAAAGTTGAAAGTGAAAGAAGAGAATTGGTTGAGATTCTCAGAAATATTTTGACCATAAAGCGATTAATGTAAAAAAATCTATAAATCTAACTATAAGAACATATTATGTGGCATCAGAACAGTTGTGAAAAGTTAAAATCTTTACCATTCGAATGTTTATTTAAATAATACTTAGAATCTGAATATAGGAAAATAAAAAGTTCAGAGAAACACATTTATTGCAAAAAATATCAAGAAATAAACTGAAGTGCTTAAATTTGTGATACGTTGTGCCGAAATAATTAAAACTATACCAATAAATTATCTTAAATGGTCCAAGTTTCTTACATATGAGAATGAACTTTGCATTGTTTCTTAAAAACTAGACGCCAGATATAGCAGTGATTATTTGAGTCAATTGAAATAAATTTAAAGATAAAATAGAATATTCCTCTTATAAATACTTATTTGTCATGTAATTTCTATAGTTCCCAAAAACGTACTAATCCCAAAAGATCTGCTTCATTGCCGTTGAAAAATGTTTTCTGCGATAGTTGACACTTTTGGAAAAAAATAAAGAATCCAATTGTGTAAAATACATTTTTTACCCAATTCGAATCCGGGCAGCTGCCTGTGCTGGTGAGGGTTGTGTTGCATTAAGCAAATGTACCGTAAAATTAGTAAAGTATAGTATGGTTGGGTGTCAATTTCACACATGTTATGAGTACTTTGCGGTTTCGGAGGGTCCTGTTCCGGCTGTGCAAAGCCAACAGGAAATGCCGCTGGAATGACTTCAATGCCAAACAGCATTCAGTGTGAGCATCATTTGAAATTCTTGCGGCATCGTTGGCTCAACGCTGACGCCAAACGGAACGCAATATACTATACTAACAACAGTAAGAGCAGAGCTAGACAAAAATCGTGGTAAGAAGACGACGACGACGACAATGGCGATGACGGCCAAGTTAGAAACTGGCGACAACAAATCATGACAACGGCAGCGTACAAAATGCCGACGATGGCGACAACAACAAGCTCTACGAAGCGGTGGTGCAGTGTGGTGCTGGCACGGCTCATCATCAAATGCAACACGCGGCTGCTAGCCGACCGAACGCGGCTCTTGATGATAATGAAGATGGGCGACAATGCCAGCGACTATGACGATGACGATGTCGACGATGACGACGAAGACGACGTCGCCAGCGCCAGAGACGACGACGAATGTTAGAAAGGTATGCCCGCAACGACAATCAGGAGAGGCAAAAAGTGCGATCAATTGCAATGCGCACCGAATTTCAATTGGGGAAACCAGCCAAGAACCACAACAACAGCAAGAACAACAACAATACAAGTAATGGATGGAGCAACGAAATGCATTCGAGAAATACAGTTGCTATTGATGACGACAAACAAACACAGTATTGGACTCACTGGGCAGGCGGCCCGATGTTGGACATTCAGTCAGGCAGTCAAGCAGTCAGGCAGCTAGCCTATGAAAGGAATTGGGTTATGACCTCAAATGCGTGTTGCGCTTGCCGCAATGGCATATGTTGCACTTTGGCTGGCATTGACGCCATGATTGAGCCGTTTTCATTGTGACTTGGCCACAGGCCAATCAAATAATGATCATTTCAATCATTTGCTTGAGGCTGAACAATAAGATGAAGCTAGAGTATTTATTGCAGAAAATTAACATCAATACGAGGAATACCTCTTGACGAGGCAAGAACTTATTGGCCAAACAACTAATAGCGGATATTACACAGGCACCCACAAAATATCTGATAACGATTTGATGTCGAAAGAATTAATTCATTTATACTCGAAGACTATGAATCTAGCAGTTAGGTGAAAAAATATATACAAGTATGTGAGAGCCTTATTTAAACACTATGGCTCCCATAGAAATATACTTTTTCTATTAAAACAAATCGAGAGTTTATGCCGCAAAACACTATTTATTCAGAAAATGAAATATGCCGTGAAGAAAGCATTTCAAAGCAGAAGGATACGAAATTAGACTACTTTTGCGATGAATTTTAATTGGAAAATTAAATAAATGTATGATTGTTATGGAAACTTAGGTAGGATCAATATAACTGCAATACTATCGATATTGTCAGTAGTTGGTGTCGGAATGATTAATACTATCTAGAGGTTTTCCAACAGAGGTAAAATTCGACACAACATAGACAAATAAATTTCGATTATAAGAGATCATAATTTCTGATTTTTATGTATCGATGGTCTTATACAAGTAAAATAACCAAACTAAACTACTTAGTTATCCAGATTCCCCCAAGCCCGAGAAAGGACAAGTTAGTATTTTTCTTGCTATAAGTGTTGTTTTCATAACTCCCGTTATTCTTGACATTACATCCCGATCACCGTGATGGCTCAATTTTAAGAGAAGTTATAGCAATTTACTCATAGACTCTTCATAATATTTTTAAGAGTAGAGTCAAAAATTATTCCAAAAATTGTTGAATAATTTAGCTTCCAGCGATTATTACAGAACACCTGCCTATATAAATACAAGTAAATATATATATATTTTGTCTACATTTAAAATATTGTTTTACAAGGCCTTATTAAAAAAGCCATCTGCTGTTTTTTTGGGCTTCAAGAAGTCTAAAAATGTCGTTTTTATATAAGGTATGTAATAATTCATCAGTCAGGCCCCCTTTCTTTTCAACGCAAAAAGTTCAAAAAAATAAAAATAGTATTTTGATTACATAACTGAAAATTAAAGTGCATTCCATTATCGAAATTCTACATTATATGGATGCCTGAGTCATTACGCCCAACATTTCAAGCCAACAAAAATTCTTTCCTTTGAATTAAAATTATGCGCTTAGCAATCCCAAACATTCTATTGAATTTGCAATTTATTTGCAGTTGAGCTTTTTTTTTTAAATCTACCTATACCACACATACATAGTATAAATATGATTAACCAATTTAAGTCAAAACCACTTTAATTATATAGTTTTATAAATCAAATGGACAAGTGGCAGGCAGCCCCTATCCCCGCCGTTCCCCTTCAGCAGCTCCGATAGAAGTTGTTGGAGGCACGTACGCTTATTGGAGCTCAGTTGGGCGCTATGGGGGCCAATAAGGTGTAAATTTATGCCCCAACAGCAGCAGCACCAGCAGCAATAGCCGTGGTAGCAACAATAACAACAACAACAACAACCACAGCAGCAGCAATGCTGTGCAATTTATTGTTAATTTCTATAAAAGCGCAGCAAGACGCACATTTTTCGTATGCCTTTTGATTGGCATTTGAGTGTTGCGATTATAGTATATAATATATTATTATTTTTTTCTTCACATGCGATCGTGTAATTATTTGTTTCTGTGTGAATTTTTGTGGCCCATAAGCGCGTTTTTGTTCGCAGTTTTGATTTGCTGTTAAGATTGCAACGTAATTGTAACTCATGGCTAACTTGTATTCTATGAGATACATTTTTTGCTTCGATTCTTTGGCAGAGTTAATGTGAAGTTTAAGTAAGCTCGCATGTTTACAAATGTTTCGCGTTTGTTCGCTTAATTATTTATATGTAACGACATGTGTATGACAAAGTGGACAAGGATCAATGACAACAACAAGAAGAACAACAGCGCCTAATTAATATTGCATGTAAATGTTAAACATTTCTCGATTGGGTGTAGCAACAAACACTTCAATATTTGGCCCGAAGTTTCAAGTATTGGCATTCGTGAAAGTAGCTTGTGTAAGGCAGTAAGGAGTAACATTTTTAATTACCACCATTAAATGGCACGTGCCACGCGGATAATGAAATTAAATAAAATCAATTAAGCAACAAATAGTTGAGCAGTTTTTCTCATGTTATACAACCATCATCAACTGGAAAAGCCCAAAACACGCAACTGCCAAGATGATTTGTGAACTGAATCGACAGCGCACTTGTAACTGGCATTGTTGCCGCTGCTCGGTGCAAAGAAAATGTGGAAAATTGCCCGCAAATGCTGGAAAAATGCTGTGGCAAGGAGACGGAAAAAACAAAATGCAGCTGCATAAAATTAAACGAACAAAAAAATGTGAGCTAGGAAAAACAGAGCACCACATCAAGTGTTTATTGACGTTTGTCTCGACAAATGAACTGAGCTAGAAAATCAAGTGATTGGGCTGCAGTTTTTAGGTCCGACTAGCAAAAAGGGAGCCTCTGAAACATTAATGTATTACTGAATTGTTATAGAAACTTAAGTAGGATCAATATAACTGCAAAACTATCGATATTGTCAGTAGTTCGTATCGGAGAGCCTCTGAAACATTGAGCTTATGGGGAATGGCACAGAATTCTCTTTACATACTCTTTTTGCTGTGAAATAAGCCTCTGAAGCATCGAACGTATCAGGCATGGCACAGAAATCTCTTTCAACAAAATTCCAAACCAATTCCAAACCGTGGGTGTTTTATAAAGCTCATCCTATTGGTTTCATCTGTTCTTGGGAAACAGCACAATTTTTTTAAAAAAGTCTACTCAATATTCAAAGAGTTGAGTTTTATTTGCTTATAGAATATTGTTTTTCAATAATATTTGAACTTCATCTTAACCGAAAAAAACAACGCACTAGAATTGTTTATAACAAGTTGCGGTACAAAGAATTGAAAAGGTTTCTATTAAAAAAAATGTTAACGCAAAGAGACTGTTTGAGCAAATCTAGAATAAAAATCACTGTATTGAGAAGGAAACTGGACGATAAAGGCAACCCAAGATCCAGGACCATCAAATCATAAATAAAGAATTAGTATAAACAAAAATATCTTTAGTCCTTCATACCACAATTCAAAGCTTTATCTACGAGCATGTTCCAACACTTCTAATTTCAATTGCAATAAGGAAGGACAAAAGAATTTTTATATTATGTATCATGTTACTGATCCCAAACTTTACTTATTTGGTAAACAAACAAAAAAAAAATTAACAATGTCGGCAAATAAATGTGCATTATTTGTTATTTAATAAGACAAACTTTGATTCATTTGCTTCAAAGCAGACCATTTCGCTTTGATTCATGTACAAATCTCATTTCAGCCATAATAAACAGCCCATAAATGTCAAGATAAATTACGAAACCAATGCAAGAAAATGAGGGAAGCAAAAACAAATCAAGGCTTTTTATGTAGTCGCAGCACGTGAAGTCATTGATTAAATTAGTAAATGTTTTTGTGCACATTATCAAAGGCGGGCAGATAGGCTCGCAGGCAGGCAGGCAGACCCTGACTAACAAAAAAGAAATGGCATAGAAAAAATATTTATGAGCGCTTTGGTTTTTGTTTTTATTTGTTTGTTTTTTTACGCTGCGGCCTTTTTAATGTAAACAAAAAAGGCGAGCAAACAAACAAACAGGCACTAGGAAAAGCAAAATCAATAGGAAACCACAACAACAGCGACAACAACAACAAAAACAAATACGTCCAAGCCTTGCCTACATGCTTGACTGACAAGCGCGCCCCATTGGCCAACATAATCAACTTGTGGCAATTTCCAGGCAGCCAACAGACTCTAGACTGCAGCGTTTTATATTAAATTGGGTTGCGTACGATTTAAATTGAAATCGAAGCCAGACAACAAATGGCTGGGAAATGTTGAGCAGCAAAAAAAAAAGAGCTGCCAGTTGCCAGCTAAATGAAAATGTTATCAGCAACAGCGACAAGGAGAAAAATTTGTTCGTTGCGTTCGAAAATTGGAATGAACAGCCAATCAGTGAGCAAACAATTTGGCCAAACCACTCACAGATGGCATCAAAGTGGCACACGTTGTTGTTGTTGTTGTTGTTGTTGCTGCTGTTACTGCTGCCACTTGTTGTCTCGATTTGGCATCACATTTTTGTGTTGCCTACTTTTCAACGTCTTGTACTTTCAATTGCCTTTAATTGTAAAACAAATTTCAAATGTTTGCTCAAGATATTCAACATTTTCGAATGCAAATCGCATGCAGACATGTAGCAGTTGTTGCTTTTATTTGCGCAACAATTTGTTGCACATCCCACATGCGATTGGCAGCAGCGGCAGCAAAAACAACAACAACAACATACAAGCCAGCAACTTGTTTGCAAAGCCACAAGTGCCAGACACGTTGGCTCGATGTTGGCTTAATGCATGCGATTAAAAATTGTAATATGATTGCATAAATTATGAAAATGGTTTGAGAGAAAACTTACATACAAAATCGGCAATTTCGAAAGATCCAACAATCAACATCATTGTTTTTGTTATATTCATCTGATTATATAGTATATATATAGTATTATAATAGCGGAGCACTTACTCATTGATTCTGGACTCTCGCCATCCACCACCAAAGCCTCGTTATCGGAATCTTCGGTCTGTTGCACACAAGTCGCGCCCGGCACATAAGTCTCTTGGCTAGTCGCTTGATTATTGCTATCTGTTCCGATGCTCGATGTGGATGAGGTAATGCCCACATCTATCGAGTCCTCGTCTAGTTCCTGTTTGATTCGCTTGGCATTCGAACTACAACTGGCCACATCGTCCTCGGCCGCATTAACTGTTGCTGGTATGGTGATGCCGCCCGGTTTGGTTTCCTGCAAATGAAGGTCAATAAAAATATAGGATAGGATATATTATGTATATAATATTTCGACTACAAATAAAATCAATTAGCATTTTTATGAGCAACGGAAATGTGATATCTGCCGCTTCTTATCTTACATATAGCCACATATTGGTCACCCTCTAGGGCAAGTAGCCTTGGACAGTCTTATAATTTATGTGCAGCTCTAAAACGGTTGGTAGCTCTTCTTGTTCCTGCATTTTAAACTCATTCATGCCAAACTTTTACGGCAAAGAGTCGAGGAACGCGTCTGGGTCTTGAATTATGGCCCTTGTCTAGGGCGTGCTTAGGGTTTGGTCGTGTTAAAAATGGGCCGACCAGGCCGTGTTTTCAGAGGGTGCGCGATTAATTGCCATGCTTGAGGAAATGCTTTGGAAGTAGGGTAAAGAGTTTTGCATAAATTTAGCACAGATTTCAAATGGATAGCGGTAGATAGGTGCACAGTAGCCAATTAAGTTGGGCTACCACAACATGTTGTGGGTGGCAAGGCAAAGACAGGAGGGTTTAGAAGTAAGGAAGAAAGTAGAACTACTGATCTAATGATTTAAGGGATATTCATTTTTGTGAAATGTACTAAAATTATTGAATTGCTAAATAATATTTTCTGTTTATGACAAATTATTTCTAGGGTTCTTATATGAAGACAAAATGGAAAAATTATCAAATGATTTTTTTACGATAGCAAAATAATAAATGTATTTATAATTAGTTGCCCCAAGTGTACATATTTCTCTTTCTAAAAAATATTAAATAAATTTAATAAACTTAAATGCCTTGAGACAGAAGTTATCTTTATGTTCCATGTTTTCATACATTTGGCAAAAAGTATTAATAAAAGTATAGGTCAACTTTTAAGGAACACCCTTTTTAATATAGTTGCAGAGCCACCATAATAGCAATATTTTGTAAGCGATAGAAAGACTTGGTCGAAACATTGTATTGTAATATTTAGAAACCGTAATATTTATTGAGGAAACTATATAAATCCCTAGCACCTAATGACACCACGCTAAACTTTAGACTAATGTTGAACTCTTTTGAAACACAAAATGTGAACATTTAAAGTATTTTTCCATAAATCACAAGTGATTTTATAATATATTGCAAATCCCCGATCATACACACACATATATAGATAACTGTTTATTGCACTTAACTGAACAATGTGGGACGATATGAGGAGGACTCAGTTCATTAAATGATATGATTGCTATAAGTGTATGTGAAACCGTTGGAAAATTTAATAAACAACTGCGACACAGGCAGAAGAAATCAGTTCCAAACGAATAAGTCTGTCAAGCGGCAACAAGTAATACCTATGGCCAATGCACTTAACCTCAAACTTGAAACTTGAACTTCAACGTAAATGAATTGACAGGCAGACATTGCCTTAGCAATGAGACAAAAACATGGCTGCGTGCCATAAAAGTGGACTCCGATGTGGCATATGCAAGAGTCGGTCGGTCGGTCGGTCGGAGTCGTCCGTTGGCCGCCAACCGGCGACCGGCCGGCCGGTAAAGACCGCTCCGGTAGTAAGTAGAACCAAAAACAGAGAGAAAAGACGCAACAGACCATAATCAGTGTTCCATTGAACGCACAAAATCATTTAGCGAAACCGAAAAGAAGCAACAGCAGTGGGAGAAGGTGAAGAAGCAGAAGTTGAAGCATAAGCAGAAGAAGGAGAAGAAGAAGAAGCAGAAGCATCACCACCACTGGAGGAAGAGTCGAACTGCACCCCACAAAAGCACTTGAAACTGTTTTGTTTTTGTTTTTATTTTTTTAAGGTCTACTCTTTGTGTGTGGTGCGAGGAGCAACACCAAGTAGGGTAAGCAGACAGAGTAAAGTGTTTGCTTTTGGTCATCATACATATAAAGGTGTAGGTATAGATATATAGCTATAATAGGGAATAGAGATGGAACCTATAAACGCCACGTATTTCGGACAGATAGAGCAAAATATTTGATTGTGGTCATCATACTCGTATAGAAAGAATAGTAATGAAAGCTAGTAAGTTGTTTAAATATTAAATCGGATGCAGATGTTTTTTCAGCTAATGCTTGGGAATAAAACAAAAATTTATAAAATCTGCACTGCAACAAAATTTTTAAAGTGTTTACATTTCGAATGTTTTTTATTTTTTTATGGAAGGAAATATGTTGTAAAAGACACTAGAATACTTTCTTTAATAAAATGCGTTATATAAAGATTGTTAATATTTGTTAGATGTTAAAAATTATATCTCAGATGTAGTTTCTCATTAAATTATTGATTAGATCTATCATCATTTGGCTAATATTGATAATGTTATCAGATAATATTATTACAAAAAAAGTTGCCTATAACCTTTTTTTTTAAGTTTTAATGCAGTAAACAATCACTAGCTTTTTTAAGATTTTTAAAGGAGGACATTAGAGGCTACTTTTTAAAAGTTATAGCTAGTTAACTAATTTTAAAAAGATTTAGAATTTTTGGGTATGAAATGAGGTCACAGGCATTGAATTTTATGAAACTAATAGATAGCAAGAAAATTAAGTGTTAGTATGGGATTTTTTAAATAAATTTCCTCCATCTTTGTTCTATATTAGAAATTGTTCCTTCACTCATAAATGTTTAAAAAAAAGTATCTATTTAATAGAAAAGGTCTGAAATCTTTAATTGATAATAGAAACGGACAAATTTATGAGCCAATTTTTCGTGAATAAATTAAATGAAAATTTAAGTAACAGCATTATTTGGGCTAAAAGCGTAATAAGACTCTATAGGGAGAAGAGAAAAGTTCCTGTTCATGATAATTGTCAAACAGTGACGGTTGTGTAATAACATTAACAACATGCGTTACGGTGCTTTTTTTGCTCTCTGTAGATATTCACGCTTTTCACGCTTACGATCCCATATCTAGATGGGGAACACAACACTTAGATGAATGAATATAAGCAAGAAATGGCAACGGCAGCACAAATATGGCCAAAGCAGTAAGTTCAAAGCACGCTACGTAGTAGACCAAGACCAACGATGAGTTGAGAGTTTTGTAGCAAATTGAATTGTCTTTGTTGTTGTTGCTGTTTTTGTTGTTATTGTTGCTGATGTTGCATGAATCACGTGACCATGACCACGAGGCAGCAATGACTAAGAACAGCAAAGCTCGTAACAACCAACATACAACCAACGACAGGCTCAACGCTGTCTCGCCTCTGCTCTCTGTATATGGCGAACGCAATTTGAACTCCACTCGGAAGATCATTTACTTTCATTAAGACTAAAATGTTGTCGTTGTCGTCATCATTGTCGTTGTTGTTGTTGTTGCAAGTGCTGCTGCAAGTGCAGCATTGCTTGCTTTCTGCTCTTTTGCGTGTAACAAGTGTAAACTTGGTCTAATAAGCGGCCATTAGTCGTCGACGTCGTCGTTGTCGTCAGTGTTGGTAAACGTAAATGGATCATGCGTGAAAAAGTAAGCTGAGTGGAGATTTCTATGCCAGATAAAGAGCAGCCACAACGGAAGTCTTTAAGATTTACGCGCAGCTATTTGCATAAGTTGTTTGTATGTATATTTGTGTGTATGGGTGTAGTTGTGAGTGTGTGTGTGTGTGCCTATTAATTAAGCAATTAGCTGCCCTCATTTGGGCTACGCGCTTACCTTATTTGGATTACGCCGCTTGCGTTCACTGCCAGTTGTTGTTGTTGTGGCTGTCATCACAGGTGAGGCTGAATTTGAAGGCTCCCGCTTGCATTGCAGCTTAGCTTCCTGGCGATCTGCAAAAACAAATTTTAAAAATGTTATCAAATGCATGAATTAGCGAAGAAAACAATTAACCATTCAATTTTTTGCCACATATTATGCGGGTTTTATCTAACTTTATAATGCGTTACAATTTTCTCATCAATGAAACCATTAATGCGGATTGATTGTTTTTTCAGCTAAAGCAATACATAACTAACTTTTATGGCTTTTATTTATTATGTATATGAAAAATATCAGTATTCTCCTATGTAGTAGAAAATAGACTTCGACGCGGTTTTCAACACTACCATCAAATCGTAACATCATTTCGGAACTGAACACATTTCGACAACTGAAATGGTCTTCCTAATCTTGATTTAGACTTAATTGATTCATCACGTTCATTTTCGGAAGCTGCCCCAATTTCGCCCAGTCTTGAGACAAAATCACTTAACTCATAAGAGAAACTTACATTTCATTTCGATTTCCTCATCATCCAGCAGCAGTGAGACGACTTCTTTGGGTTTTAGCGTATCGGGTTTGAAATTGCCGCCACTTATGACCATGCGTTGTATCTGCAATGATAAGATCATAGAAAATTAATACCAAGAACATATCCCAAATATCCAATTAAAACATGCATTGATAAAAGCAATCAAAGCGAGACACACAGGAAATGAAATGAAACACGCACACTTCGCAGCGCCCTAAAGGGCTGTTTAGGACTTCCGTCTGTGTCGGTCCTTGCACTTTTATATGGTAATCGTGGGTTTGGCAATTAAACTAATAAATGCACAACTGCATTGAACTCGAAGGCGTAACCAAAATGTCGCCTACCCAATTGTACAATTAATTTCCGGTGTTGTCTTACCCCCTAACCCGACAGCCAGTTGGGACAGACAATGCTCAGTGTGTTCCACAAGTGTTTTGAGGCGCTGCTCATGTTTCATTTAGCATTTTTAAAGAGGCGCAACAATACGTCGGCCCATGCCTGTCGATGGCATGGGGAAGTCTATTCATGGCGACGCACGTGCCTAATATGCGGCAAAACAAAAGCAAGAAACCGAGGCAGCACCAACAATTACGACTTGTTTCTGTTTTGTTGCGGCTCTTGCGGTTTCCTGGCTATGCGAGTACGAGTCTTCCTCACTTACCTCGCTCTTTTCGCGCGCACGCTGCAAAATGCGCTCCTCAATGGTCCCCTTGCAGATCAAACGATAGACTGTCACCTGTTTGGTTTGGCCCAAGCGATGTGCCCGGTCCATGGCCTGCTGATCGACAGTGGGATTCCAGTCGGAATCATAGAAAATGACCTAAAAGTAGAAAATGAAAATCGTGGCTTAGGCATGGATTGCAAAAATCTCTAAAATGCTAATATTATTGGAAATATAAAAATATTGTATTTAAATATTTATATAAATAGGTTTGTCGCTTCTCTTTGTTCTTCTCCATTGTTTGCTACAATTCTTTGAAAGCCTCTTGCTGTTCTATTCTTACCTATCCTGGAATTCCAAGATGTTGTCTAAGCTATATACAAATGGTTCAGTAATAATTTAAAATGTTTGCTATAAAACTGAATATAAACTACTTTCTAATAAAGTTACAAGCTCATAAGGAGCTTATATGCTTAATACACATCTTATTTTGTTATCTCTGTACCTAGAACTTACACATAAAAAACTATATTTCCTGAAATTTGGGTCAGATAAGCAATAAGAACAATTCTATACTTAATATTATACTTCTGTAAGAACAAACATTTATGGCTTCAATTTTTGAATGCTTCTTTAATAGGAATAATGAGTGTGCTACCTTAACATTGTTTTGTTTTCAAACTTCCGTTTCCACTATAAATTAACATAGTTGTATGTAATACGATCAAATATTCTATGTTTCGTTTCGAAAATTCAATAGCATCATCAATTTTATGCAAATTCTTTCCATATCCTTTGATATCTTGCGCTTTTGTGTTTGCCAACTCGCATATCAATTATTCCCTCCTTGGCAAATGAGTTCAGTAATCCACTTTGTTGGGTCACGAATTTTACGCCTTTCCTGTTTTCGGCATTTCGTCTATTATCTAGAGTGGGGAAAACTCTTTTCCTTTAGCATGCACTTGGTACGTGATTGGATTGCAAGTGTGCAGCACTCTAGTTGGAGGACTTTTCCAAAGACTGACACATCCGGCTGAGGATGATGAGCCTAATTATTGAACACTTGGGGTGTATTTTATATGGAACACGTGTTTTACAATGGGCAGGCACCTCCAAATGTAAGGGCTGATGAGTGCAAGATGTAGTTGGAAGCGGATTCAATGCGAGAGGAAATGCAAATTGCAACTAGAATTTCTTTGTTTGTTATATTTTTGTTTAACCTTTCCTCATATTTTAAACAACAGATGAGGATTTGAAAACATTTGCATGGTTTGAAGCTTTAACTAAAACACGAAATCGTTGTAGTAAAATGTTTATTCATTTACTTTGGAACTACTTAAAACTCACAAAAAAAAAAAAAAAAAAGTAGCTTATAAATTTCAGATTTAATTATAACACAAATATATACACAGACAGCTTATTTAGCGACACTCACTGTCGAATCCATTGACCAACCAAAGCAGAAATTCGTTCCTTCGAAGCCCGCAACTCATTATTGTCCGCAATAGTTATAGAATTCGTATCCCCGCAATGTGAAACATCTGTTAAAAACATAGTACATATCTGAATCTGTCATTTATGGGCCGATTCGACCACTTGCCTGGCAGTGTGAAGGACATCAAGTCGTGGATAATTCCCGTCGTACGCCATGGGTCTAATTGGCCATGCGTGTAGTAAGCATTCGTAATGTTTGGGTGAAAACCACCGTAAAGAGAATTGACTTTTTCAATTTGTTGACTGATAAAGTCCATTGTGAATTGTGGACCAAAAATAGCCTTACATTCCGCAGCCATATAATTAAGAGGTGCGGAATTTGTAAAGGGGTGATAAAAGGATGAGGTTGTCTGAAAATTACCAAACTGACTGCAGACCTGATACATCCACTGACGTCCTGAAAAATCGAAATATCTGATATCTTGACACGCGAAATATATAACATGGATTATACCAATGTATTTGGTGTAGTTTGGGTTTCTCACGTCGTGCTCCCCTGCCGCGTCATAGCTCTTTTCCTTTAAGAGAGCTCCCAAAGTAAATAAGACATTGTGCCCTTCTAACAATCTTCTGCAAAAATCCCGTGTACCGTCCCCACTGTGTGATTGAAAACAAAAAACCAAAAATTAGTGATTTACTCAAGACTTGATTCCAGCTCACCCACTTAGAATGTTGGACTACGGACGCAATTTCATTTTCCATGCCCTCAAGCGGCTCCAAATAGCCAAGTCTATATAGATCGTACTTAATTCTTGAGTCATTCAGATGATACAATTCGTAGGCTGCTTGATGTATGCGCTGAAAACATGCTTCCCCTCCAGCTATACGAATGGATCGGCCTACATTAACCATGTAATCTAATAGTAGAAACAGAATGTACCCGGAATGTTCATTTCACATTTACCCGACTTACCCGAAAAATCAAATTTATAGAATACGGGCGCACCAGTTGCCCATATACCATTCACCAAGTCGGGATATTCTCGTTTAAGCCAGATGGCCAAGCTACCTGCATACGAACAGCCCAACATTATCACTCTTGAGGCGGAAAACCCCGGTTGTGATTTCATGACTCTAATAAAATGTGCCAAGTCTTCTATAGCTTGCTGATAAGTCAAATATTGAAGATCTGACGTACTCAGAGAGCTGCATGGAGATAGTGCAATCAGAAATCCCTTTCAATACTTCAGTGAACACCTACTTTGTGGGTCGGCTTTCTCCATAGTATCGATGCTCAGTATAATATATAATTGCGTGATATATTCCGGCCATATCGTGGAAATGGCCGCTGGTAATGCTGCTATTCACAATGGGCCACTCTGCACCAATATTGATAAATATGGGACCATGCGGTCTATAAAATTTATCATTCACCATGTAGCGCTAAATGTTTGGAGAAAGCAAATTGAAAACATTTGAGTATTATCTATTTTTTTAAAACTTTACCATAAACCAGGCCCGAGTATCACTTTTATTGAAATGATCCAATTTTTGTTCAATCCAAAGAATTTTTACTTTATGCTCATGATGGGGGTATGGTGGAGGATAGGGAAGCTGACCATGGGGTGGAGCTTGGGGTTGAGACTGAACATGAGGCTGGACAGGAATCTGAGCTTGAGGTTGTGCAAGAGGCGGAACAATAGGCTGAACAATAGGCTGAACAAGAGGCTGAACAAGAGGCTGAACAAGAGGCTGAACAAGAGGCTGTGGCTGAACAAGAACCTGAGCTTGATGTTGAGGATGAGGCTGAGGCTGAACATGAAGCTGAGCATGAGGCTGAGCATGAGGCTGAGCATGAGGCTGAGCATGAGGCTGAGCATGAGGCTGAGCATGAGGCTGAGCAAGAGGCAGAGCCTGAGCTTTAGCCTGAGCATGTGACTGAGAATGAAGCTTAGGCTGAAGCTGATCCCGAGCTTGAGGAGGAACATCTGGATGACGATGGGCTTCAGACGTGGCAATTGTAAATGCGACTGCCAGTAAAATGAAATAAAAGTTCATCTTTGAACAATGGAAGCTATTCTACTACTGTCTGCAAAATAGGCTATTCGCATCGTACGTCTTAAAGCAATTTACACGCTCCGTTCGTATCGAATTAGTGCCAATGTGTTAAGTAATACCGAACATTAAAATTCGCAACGATATTCGAAATATAATATCAGTCTAATCTACAGAGATAGATATTTGTAGATATTTCTGATCATGCTGAAATATATATTTTTAATTTCGATTATACTTATCCCTTCGGCTAAGGCCCAGCAAGTTAATCCTAGTCTCGATAATGCTGGCATCAAGATTCTATGGTTTGATCAAAAGTTGGATCACTTTAACGATGGCGACAAACGAACTTGGCAAATGGTGAGATCTTCTCCAAAATATTATTCCATTTCTAATCATCCTTAACAACTCTTTTCTTTAGCGCTATATGGTCAATGAGAAATATTTTAAGCCAAATAAAACGATATATTTGTTTTTGGGTGGCGAGAGCACCATACTCTCGCCCAATACCAATGCTTCCAACATTATGTTAACCAACAGTCTGATGCATGATGCGGCGCAGAAAAATGCTGGATACCTCATACACACCGAACATCGCTTCTATGGAGAAAGTAAACCAACCGCGTAAGATCAGATACACTTGTATATTCAGAAATTTTGAAACAATCGCAAACTCGCATAAACCGATAATTATTTGTTAGTTTTTAGGACAGTTTAATACGTTAATTATTTTTTATTTCTGAGCACAATTTTTGTTTTGCTTTATAGTTTTTTTCAGTCCTTAAATATCTTTTCACAAAGTCCTCCATAATTCTAATATGGCGAATGAACGAGCCAACAGTTGCAAATAATATGGAAGTCAGCTTCATTCATTAATAATCCTTGCACGATTCTGTTAATTATTTCCTTATGTCCTAACCCATCGGCACCCGTGATATTTAAATGTAATCGATCAATATTTTATGTTATCAATCAACTATGCAGATTCCATAAAAAAAACACTGAGACTTCGATCTAATTGATTGATTATTTTATAATAATTATATTATATTCAATAAGAATATTTTTTTTATATACAGATTCTAAAAATTAGATTGTAAACAAACCTTAGAGAATTTCTCCCTTTTCGATACGGCCAATAACTTTTCCATCCGTTCCTTATATCCCCCAAAAAATATTGTTATACAACAATTGTTTAACAACTTTTTATTGCACTTAGCGAGCTTTCTTTGGATGATCTAAAGTTTTTAAGCTCACGTCAGGCTCTGGCAGACGTAGCAGCTCTCATCAGAAGTCTTAAATCGGATATATCGCGTTTTGGCAACTCAAAGCTGTTTGTAGTTGGTGGCTCATATTCGGGCATTTTAGTGCCTTGGTTTGCCAAACTATATCCGGATTTAATAGATCGTGGCTGGGCCTCGAGTGCACCCTTTCAATTTCATCTCGAGTACGAGCGCTATAATATTATAGTGGCGAGAACTTTGGAACAAATTGGTGGACAAGAGTGTTATCGTCGTCTGCAGAATGGCACTGAAAAGTTGGCAAACTATTTAAACGATAAGGACCAAATTGAAGAAGCCATGAGATTACTAAACATATGTAACAAGTTCAATGTTAATAATGATTTTGCTCTTTGGAATGTATATCACAAAATGGCTCTTGTGTTTGGCACGCTGGTCCAATTTAACACGTGAGTGATGCTTAATTGGATACAATGTAATTATATAATAATTTTAAAATATATAATTTAAGTGGCACTAACATACAAGCAGTTTGTAAGGAAATTTTGCAAGGTTCGAATGATGTGGAGGCAGTTAGTCAATATATTGTGAAGCAACTTAAGGATAAATCCCAGAAATGCATCGACTACAGTTTTAAGACACGTGTGGAGAATCATAAAATTCTAAAATATACCACAGATTCAGGTAAATTGGATGACTGTATTGAAATTACAACGAATACACCTTTTAAAACCGTCACAGAACGCCTTTGGACCTATCAGAGATGTAAAGAATTCGGGAATTTTCCGACAAGCGAGAAACGTTATAAGGATATGACCAACAAAATACCCTTGAAGTATTTCATAAGAACCTGCTACATGGTTTTCGGAGAGCAGTTCACTAGAGAGCGCATAAAGGAGAATGTGCAACGCACGAATGCGATCTTTAAGCATTTACATGATGAGAATCGCCCAAAAGGAAATATATTCTTTACCCGAGCCAGTTTGGATCCCTGGGTGGAAGTCGGCTTGCAAAATAATTCAATGGCTGTGCTTTTAAAAGGTTAAAACGGAGACAGCATTTAAAGTTAGATACATATTCCATTTCCAACTAATTTCAGATGCTTCACATTGCGAAGACTTGAGGCCCATCGGTCCCCATGACTCCAAGCAGATGAGAGCCTTTAAAGAAAGCATATTAGCGGCAGCAGCTGTACTCTAAAATTACAATATTATTTAACTAAATGAACTCTTGTATTTAGAAATTTAAGGCGCTTGAAGTTAAAACGTAAGCATCAAACATGTTTGTTTATGAACAAAGTTTTAAATATAAATGACTAAAATATAAGAATGAAGCATTTTGTTTTTATAGTGCAAAAAAGTTTTAATAACAGTCGACACAAAAACTCATTTGATTTGGAGTTTTTGGTTTCAAATACTTTTTTGGTGAAGCTACGGTTAGACAGACAAATAATAACCCCAAATTTTCCATGTTATTAAATATGTTTTAAAGTTAAACAAAATGCAAATTTTTAGAGTTTTTCTTTTTAGTAAATATTACTACATCTCTCTACGAAATTGAGCCAATTATTCACCCCATTTATGCTATTTTTTTGCTCGCAACTACACCTAACTCTGTTTTCACACGGTAGATTGGTTCCTAAAAACGTCGTGTAAAAATTAAACCGTGTAAAAAATACATTGATCGTATGGAATGGAATAAAGTCGTGTAGCCATATATAAAATTTTAAATTTTTAAACCGTGTTAAATCAAAACCGTGTAACCAGAATTAGGTGTATACTTAAAATTTAGATTTCATTGAGAATACATTTTAAATATTTTTATTTTATGCCCCAGAAAAGTTTATTATTGAAGCAAGGGACAATTAGTCTAAATAAGCATTTATTTTGAATGTTTTCCTCGTCTGAACAGACCTTTATCTGCATTATTTATTTTATAATCTAAACTTTTTTTTTTTTTTTGCTAGGACTGAGTATCAATTGCTCATTTTGTGATAACAATATGGGGAACTAATTTAATTTGTCATATTACTACTACAACCACTCATTAGCACTTGAGAACTTGAAGTATTTGAGTGAAACTACACGAGCGATAAGTACTTTAAACAGCCTTAGTAGCTGGCCCACTAACTTATTCTGATAAAGCGCCGCTGGACTCCAATTTTGGTTTGGTTTTAGGCCGCATTCTACTTGATTGTTGCCTTTATTTATGGTCTATTATGCGTATTTCAATGATAGAACTGTAATTAAAGGCGATAAGATTTACGTTGAGCCTTAAAACTTTTATTGGGTCACGACTGAATGGCACTAGTTGAATCCATAGAGTTCTCAGTATTCGCACAATTCGCAACGATGAACCACCGTATACTGATCGGGTCTATGCTGTTGCTACTGGGGCTGACTCAAGCCCTGGCTAGAGACAGCATTTTCAAGCGTACATTCCAGAAGTTACATGAGGAACCGCCACTACCGCTCAAACAGGCTCGTGACGACACTGTAGAAACACTATGGATCGAACAGAAACTGGACCATTTCGATGAAAACGAAATCCGTACCTGGCAGATGGTAAGCCAATTGTATTATGTAACGATACAATCCAATTCAGAGTCTCTTTTAGCGCTACATGCTCAACAGACAGTACTTTGAAGCTGGTGGGCCGCTATTTATTTTTCTGGGCGGAGAATGGGAAATATCCCAGGGTAGAATAACCGGTGGGCACATGTATGATATGGCCAAGGAACATAACGGTTTGCTGGCCTACACTGAGCACCGTTATTATGGACAAAGTCGACCACTGCCGTAAGTAAAGCAAAGTTCACCTAATTCTGTTTCAACACGATAGATTGGTTCCAAAAATAAAACGTGTATAAAATATATTGATCTTATGCAAAAAGAAGTGATTGGTTCCTTCTATCTAAAGAAATATATATGAACTTTTTAATTTTCAAACCGTGTTATATCAAAATCGTGTAAAAAAGAAATGTGAAAAAGTTTTTGATTGGTTCCCTGTCTCTAAAACCTATTAAAATCAGTGAAAAGTCAAGGATTTATGTTTATTTTATTAAATCACATATATAATGTGCATAACGACCCATATAAGCATGTGGTTTCTAGTTGTTTGCCAGCTGTGTGCTTTTTTGAATCGTGCTAAATGGAATAAAGTCCTGTAACAATATGTACAATTTTTAATTTTCAAAGCCGTGTTCAATCAAAACCGTGTAGAAACAGACTTAGCTGTAATGGGTATTCCAATAAAATGATTCACCCTTCGTAATGTTTCAGGAACCTATCGAACGAGAACATCAAATACTTACACGTGAAGCAGGCTTTGGCAGACTTGGCGCATTTCATAACTACACAAAAGGCAACCATCGAGGGCTTGGCTGACTCGAAGGTTATTATTGTGGGCGGATCATATTCGGCCACAATGGTGACTTGGTTCAAGAAACTATATCCCGATTTGGTGGTTGGTGGGTGGGCGTCCAGTGCCCCTTTGCTTGCCAAGGTGAACTTTGTAGGTGAGTCCTTCAAAAATACTCAGTACCTTTCTTCTATTAAATCAATATACGTCTATATCTACTTATATTAGAGTACAAGGAGGTGACCGGCCAGTCTATAAGTCAGTTGGGCGGCTATGCTTGCTATAACCGCATTGAAAACGGCATTGCAGAATTGGAGAATATGTTCGCCACGAAGCGTGGTGCCGAGGTCAAAGCTATGCTGAAGCTCTGCGAACCGTTTGATGTGAACAGCGATTTGGATGTGTGGACCCTGTTCAGTGAAATATCCGACATATTTGCTGGCGTGGTGCAGACCCACAAGTGAGCAAACTCTATTTCAAAATACTTCTGCTTGAACTATATTTGTCTCGCTTATTTTGCAGTACGGGCCAAATCGAAGGTGTTTGTCAGAAAATTCTGGCCGAGTCTACTGATGTCGGAGGCGTTAGCAGCTATATACTTGGAGAATTTGGAAATAGTCAAAAGTGTAACGATTTAAGCTACGATGCCATCATCTCCTCGCTCTTGGAGTCAACCTACACGGGCAACATAAGTAAGTTACTACAAGTAGTTGATTGCAAAGTAGCCAGCATGTTTAACCTCTTCAATATCATAGTGCGTCAATGGATCTATCAAACGTGCAATGAGTATGGTTGGTATCAGACCTCGGGCTCAAGTGATCAACCCTTCGGCACCAAATTTCCGCTCACCCTCTATACGACTATGTGCGCCGACGCCTATGGTTCGCAGTATGGCAATGAATTCATAAACAATCAAGTGGCAGCCACAAATGAGTTGTTTGGCGGACTAGAGCCAGGAGTTGAGAATGTTTACTTAACGCACGGCCTGCTAGATCCTTGGCATGCCATGGGCATAAAGGATGAGAGTCAGGCCACAATGATTCCAAACTATGCGCATTGCAAGGACTTTGATTCGATCAGTGATAGCGACACGTCTGAAATGCGTGCCTCAAAGGAGCGCATAGCCGAATTGGTGCGTGAGTGGTTGAAGTGAATGTAAAGGAAACTACTCTATTCACATTAACCATGAATGTGATTTATTTAAAATGGTGTTCCTTTCTCAATCGTGGCATTACCTAAGACTACACCTAATCAAATTGTTCATTATCACATTTTGGTAAACCTATCAGCACACAATCACTTACGGCTTATCTTCAATGGGAAACCCGCAATTTAATAAAAAATCAAATTTAACAACCAACTTAAATTATTGGTTGCTCGTTGAATTATATCTGCCTACACCTAAGTATCCGATGAATTCTGCATCAATCAAAAGAGCTTGTGATGGTTTCTATTTATGGGTTTATGACACACACTTGTTTTTATTGCGGGACTGCTCTAAAATTCCAGTTCCGTATGATGCCTCAATCAGAATTTATTATAAGTTTTGTTCAGAATATTTAATTTGAGATAAAGCCTACGAAGTTGTTATAGCAGTTATGAAGATTTAAATGGATGATATCTGTATAATTCGAAAAGAAATCTATAAAAAAGAAAAGCATACACAAGTATTCGAAAAGTTGTGAGTTGTACTTTTACATTCACCCCCAAACTTAACAGGTTAAACCCTCTTTAATTGGTTTTATTAATGAATAATACGTATCAAGGATATCAAAGGCGGTACAATAGCTTTTCAGTAAAGGTGAAGTGCTGTGGTTTTGAACTTAATCATCAAACTACTATTTACAGCAATCTTGTAGTTAAGTGCCAAACCATGGGTAGTCAGTGATTGAAAACTATACTAGTGGGGGTACATTTGTGTCTCTTTTATTGCAGCGCGAGCCAAATTAGAGGGATTTGATTTTACTTAAAGAATTTGGAAAAAAAAATCAAATTCTTAGAGCCTAAAGCGTTGGCAACTCAATTTGTCGGCTCATTATAAAACACGGTAGCAATCGATGTTCTGCATTGGACTTATCAATACCAAAAATTTATGAAGTCTTATCGTGATCGTAAAACCCGCGATGTAATAAATAATTTTTAGCAATCAACGAATTGACTTAAATGCTTAGTGCTGGTCGGAGCACGTTTCATTTGGGAAAATGTCCGCATTCGGTTTGGTCGCTATAACGCTGGTCCTATTGGCCAGTTTGGCCTCCAGTAGAGATCTGCCTTTTTTTGTGAAGAGTTTGAGGGACTTGCATCGAGGACCGCCTCAATTACCAATGAAAAGCCGTGCTGAGCCAGTAACCGGTTGGATTACACAGAAAATAGATCACTTTGATGAGTCCAATACGGATACCTATCAAATGGTAAAGTAGAAAGCCACTTGGGGTAGCATTTTAGGTCAATAAATGTTCGTTTCCACACAGCGCTATTTGGTCAACGATGAATTCGAAACGGAAGGCAGTCCGATCTTTATCTTCGTAGGTGGTGAGTGGGAAATAGAGCCAAGTATGGTAAAGGGCGGTCTTTGGTACGATCTGGCCAAGGAGCACAATGGAGTTTTAGTCTACACCGAACACCGCTACTACGGAGAGAGTTTGCCAACAACGTAAGTTATGAAAAGTTTCAAATATGGAAATATATGGAATTCTATTTTTGCAGCACATTCTCAACGGAAAATTTAAAATATCTGCATGTTAAGCAGGCATTGGCCGATCTGGCGCACTTCATTGAGACATTTAAAGCTGAAAATCCAAACTTGACCAACTCTAAGGTACTCTTGTCAGGTGGATCCTACTCGGCCACCATGGTTGTTTGGTTTAAACGTCTCTACCCCGAACTCATTGTGGGTGGTTGGGCCTCGAGCGCTCCTCTACTGGCCAAGCTGAATTTCGTCGAATACAAAGAGGTGGTGGGCAAGGCTTTCTTGGAATTGGGCGGCCAACAATGTTACAATCGCATACAGAATGGAATTGCCGAATTAGAGGAATTATTCGATAATAAACGCGCCGCCGAGGCTCGCGCTATGTTGCGTCTGTGCAGCAATTTCGATGAGCACAACGATTTGGATCTCTGGTCGCTGTTTGGAAGTATCTCTAACATATTTTCGGGCATTGCACAGACACAAAGGTAAGTCTTGGAAATAATGAAGGGATTTATAGAGATTTGCATTCACAATATTTTCCATAACTGCAGGGAGGGCGATATTGAATTCTACTGCAACTATCTGCTTAGCTTTGACGACGACGCCTCAGCCATTGCTAACTTCGCCTATTATGCTTGGGGCTCACCCAATTGCCTTGATCCGACCTATAAGGAGACCGTGGAGTATTACTTGTGGGGCATTAATAATTTGGATGAATGTAAGTGGCGCTTAGCCTTAACTGCTTGTTGAAAAGTAAACCCAGTCCAAGGCAATAATCTTCCTACATTGTTCCATTAAAGGAGTGTTGCTAATTGTATTTTCTTAACAGCACGTGCCTGGTATTATCAGACCTGCAATGAGTACGGCTGGTATCAGACCTCGGGCTCATCTAATCAACCATTTGGCACCAAGTTTCCGGCCACCCTCTATACTGAGCTTTGCAGCGATGTCTTCGACCATCAGTTCGGCAATGAAAAAATTGTTGAGAACACCGTTCAGACGAACGAAGACTTTGGTGGCATGGAGCCCGAAGTTGAGAATATCTATGTGACCCATGGCGCCTTGGACCCATGGCACCCAATGGGATTGGGGACTGCAGAGGGGGCCACAATTATATCAAAGGCTTCACATTGCAACGATTTTACATCGATCAGTAGCCAGGACAGCGAAGAAATGCGTGCCGCTAAGGAACGGCTCTCCGAATTAGTGCGCGAGTGGTTGGCTTAATATATGATCGAGATTAATTCCATTTCAACTGATAATGTTGGAAAATAAATTATGGTTTGATATCATGCCTTAGCCTTATAGCGTAATTTTGGTTTAATCTTTTGGGGGTTGGGAATTCCTTCGAAAACATATAAGTCTTTCCATATAATTTATGAGTTGGCAAGAAATAGAAAAAATGACTCGAATACTAGAAATCAGAGAACGAAATTCCAGAAATTGTAGGTAAATGAGTACTACATAAAAGTCTCCAGTAAATCCAGGCCTATATTTGTAGGCTTCTAAAAAGTCATAGTTTTCATAATAAAAACAAAGAAATTCTTTTTAAAGGAATCATTTCCGAAGACCTTCCCAAATCCATCTATCTGCAGAGTATTACATAGCGCAAACGTAATCATACAAGGTCATAAAGTTAAGATAGCACTGTTTATACCTCAGATAGGTAAGACCCACAATTCACCACAACTAAGAGAATAAAAGAGTACACAAAAGAGAAATTAATAAGCAAAGCATTTGAGTAGAATTGTACCTGATAACTAAATTGAAATAGATCGAGTTGATAATCAAGTCTATCAATTCTGTGGTTCTTTTTTCAGCCGCTAGAGGGCTTCTATCACTAAGTCGTGCATTCTTTTCAAAATGTTTCACAACAAAAATGCCTCATTTATTAGTCATAACATAATTAACTTACAGAATTGGTTTCAAACTCGGATTAAATGGCAAATATTCAGAAGAATATTTAATGCAAATACTTATATATTTATAGCAAATGATGTTAAATTTCTGTTTAACATAGTTTCTTACAATTTAATTATAAGAACAAATAATTCCCAGCTTGTGCGTCTTCTTTGAGGTTGCATCATTCAAGGTCTGGACGCAACCACCTAGCCTATCAATGTAAAACGTGAGCTACCGAGCACCACCGCGAATCCACTTAATTTTATCGCTGTTATGCGAGTATATGCATTTGGGAGCTCTAAACTTAAACCCATTGCTAATATTTGCCTTTTAATTAAATAAACGATTCTAAAACATTATCTCAACTGCACACAAAACTATATACTACAAGTATTCTTGCAGGGCAGATTTTTTTCAATAAATAGTCCGCCTATTGAGGTAGGAAATCATTTGAAAAGTCTTCAACCCACTAACAATATGAAATATTCACTTGCAGTGCTTTTAGTCTCTTTTGTGACTCTGTCTGATGAAACCAGTCTGCCTGATCATGATCCAGGACTGTTGCCCAAAGAGGAGTCGGTGCCGGCCTCCATACAAATACTGAAGGAGTTAAATCGTGCACCACCGCTTCCTCCCACCACAATGACTTCAAATGTGGAGACCCGTTGGTTCCCCCAATGGCTGGACAACTTTGACAACAACAACACAGGAGTCTGGTACAACGTAAGGACAAGAATCGGAATCTTACATCGTACTTGCATCTAAAAATCTCATTGAAATCTAGCGAGTCATGATCAATGAAGCGTACTTCCAAGATGGTTCGCCCATATTTATTTACTTGGGTGGTGAGTGGGCCATCGATGAGAGCGGAATTAACTCAGGACATTGGGTGGATATAGCAAAGGAACACAATGGCTCGCTCCTCTATACGGAACATCGTTTCTTTGGCCTGAGCATACCGATAAGGTAAGCGTCACGAATTGCCGAGCGATGCACAATTAAGAAATACTATATCTGCAGACCTCTATCCACCGAGAATCTGGAGAAGTATCAGAATGTACACCAGGCTCTGGCCGATGTGCGCAATATTATAAGAACACTAAAGCAACAGGACAAGTACAAGGATTCTAAGGTGGTGATCTCAGGTGGTTCCTACTCTGCAACTATGGTGGTGTGGTTCAGACGTCTTTATCCCAACGACATAGTCGGTGGTTGGGCATCCAGTGCGCCCCTGGTTGCCAAAGTGGACTTCCAGGGTATGTCAGGGTGCGATCTGTCTGTTATCAGTTTAAATGTTACTTTCCAATTCCATGTGTAGAGTTTATGAAAGTGGTGGGCGATGCCTATGACCAGCTGGGTACACCGGGATGCTACGATATAATTAAAAACGCGACTTCGTATTACGAGGATTTGTTTTCGGCTGGCAAAGGTGCTGAGGCAAAGGAGCGACTAAATCTGTGCGATAATTTCGACCCGGACAGCGAACAGGATCGCTGGCAAATTTTCAGCAGCATTGCCAATATCTTTGCTGGCATTGCGCAATATCAAAAGTAAGTCTTCTGTCAACCCAAGAGACATGAATTTCAACATTCCATGTGTTCTTAAGAGCCGGCGACCTATGGGCCTATTGCTCTGTGCTCCGTGAATTCGATGAAGATGATGCTACGGCGCTATCCAAGTTCATACAATGGCGTCTGCATAATCCGCAATGTGTCAGTGCCAGATACAAGAGCACTATAAACTACTATAAATGGTCCATGGACAACTACGATGGCAGTAAGTGAAGACTGATATGAGTTTGTAGAATTAGTTCAGATAGGGATTAACCACATTTGACATTTTCAGCTGGTCTGGCTTGGACATTTCAGACTTGTAATGAGTTCGGCTGGTACCAGTCATCGGGGAGCAGCCAGCAACCATTCGGTTCTACTTTCCCTGCTACCCTATACACTGACCAATGCCACGATGTCTTCAGCACCAACTATACCGCCGTGCAAATTCAAGCAAACGTTAACCAGACCAACGAGGAATTCGGTGGCCTTAGCCCCGATGTGACCAACGTTTACTTCACCCAAGGTGGCTTGGATCCCTGGCATACAGTTGGTGCTGGTGTCAAACAGAACGCAACCATTATACCCTATGCCTCGCATTGTTCCGACTTCGGTTCGATTAGCGATAGCGACAGTCCCGAGATGCGTGCCTCCAAATTGCGATTGGCCCTGTTGGTACGTAAGTGGCTAGCTTAGTTTAGTTTACAATTTTAACATGATTTAAAAAGTACAGTTTTACAATACTTTTATATTCGATCTGGTTTAAAATATTACTATTGGTTTTCATAAAGCTATTTAATTCTAACATCAATTTATTATTAATTGAAAAGTCTAACGCTTATCTAAAGGCAATTAACAGAAGGGTCGTTAAACAAATCAAAAAATGCCAGATATGATATGCCCATTTTAAGTGGGATTTATTTAATTATTGATTGGGGGATAGGCACCACTGAATACAACAAAAACGGTTCACCCAGTCGAGTGTACCGAGGTAAAAAAAAAACAGAAGTCGGTTAAAAAATGCGTTAAGTTGGAAATTCGGAACAAATAATAACAAAATTCTAAATATGTACTGTCAAATAAAAGTAAGTGTCTAGCAAATTCAGGGATATTCAAAATTATTTCAAAATTCCAATATTTATCAGGATTGGCCAGGCGTTTTAGGCAGCCAAGTCCAGATGAGTTGATTATAGATAGAAGGAGAAGCAATAATATTTTAAAAGCGGTGGTTAAAAGTCATGAAATGAAGTCTCTTTAAAAGTTAGAATCTGAGTAACAGCTGCTGATCTTTGTAAAGCAAATAATTTAAGCAAATGTGCTATGATTAAAATTTTACTTGAATTAAAATGCATTAGCAAAAATCTACTTTTTTTCCACAATTTGGTGAGATCTACTTTTCAAAGCCTATTTGTAAAAATGTAAACATTTCGATCCAAATTATTTTCTTGTCTGACCGTCAACGGCAGCCATTTTTAGGTCTTAATGCAAAGTGGAGTTAAGAACTTAACATTCCACATATTCTTGAAAGACTGTCAAAGAAATATAAAATTGTGACGCTATTTCTACTTTGACGATCATCAAATCTGTGAATTTATGATCTTGTATTTAAATTTGGCTGTTTAACACGTTGATGACAAATAAAACTGAGCAAATATGATGCAATAAAAAACGTAAATTTATGTGGCCAACAAATCCATCACAATGTTTTTTTTTCTTTTCAAAAAGGTGTGACCAGTTAGACAGTAAATTGGTAGCCAATGGAGTCGTCGCAGACATGACGAAATAGACGCGACAAAAACTTATACTACACCCAGTGAATTGCACTAAATTCATAAACGTGCATCGCATATTAAAGTGCTGGACAATGGCCAGCGGCTACTTGAAGACATTTCGACTTTTGTGGTTTCGCTACGATTTCGAAAATGTCATAAATCTTGAAGGCAGCCAAAATCAAGGCACGCATTACAATGACATGAAAATCGAGTTAAATTTCTATACGATTTGTATATAAATGGCACAAAAATTACAATTAAAGAGGCGGCAACATATAATTTGAAATGTAACTGTCGCATTTTGGGACAACAATTTCCGTTACAAGCAAAAAATAAATGCCAAGCTGTTGAGCTTCGAATGGCAAATTATATTGGTATGCATCGAAGAGACATGAACTGGAAATGCCTTTCAGCTTACCAAGTTGCTCACACCATGTTTTAAGGAAATTATATGGAACACGAAATAAAAATGCGTTGAATTCTTTAAAAAGCTGTTGGAAATTGGAGTATTTGTGAAATGAAAGAACATTCTTTGTGGATTCGTATTCAAAGTGGAACGCCAAAGTCAGGCCATAATGAAATGACTTTTTGATGTTGGCACTGAAACATCCAATGTTTGTTATTTGAAATAATTAACCGTTTGTATAAGAGATATATAATGACTTTAATGACATAAGAAAAAAAGTTATGTTATAGAATGCCTATTTACCGATCGTTCCTATGGCAGCTATATAAAATAATGAAGCTATATATGATGTTCACTAAACTTCATTTGTACATTTTAAAGGCAAGTGTACATGCCAAGTTTCCTGTTGCTAGGTGTTACGGTTTAAAATCTGTCGATGTTCATACAGTCGGACTAAGGAATAAGTCGTCTTAAATGAGGTTTGCCTGTAACATACATTACGAGCACCTTAGCATACTTCTCCAGTTTTAGGTACAGCGTATAAATACCCGCCAGCATAATCCCATAGATTTCTCAGCAGAATCCGTTGTCAAATAACTTAATGATGCATTCAAAGCTATGCATGGCCAAATACCAACGAATTAGTCAACGGAAAAGTTTGCAAACACTCTCGCAGAAGCCTGAGAACCAACCATAAAAAGGAGACAAATCAAATTACTTAAAGCCAGCAAATAACAAATCAAAATCAGTGACAAAATGATTTAAGAACCAAACAAAAATGTTCACACGAAGCCGAAGGCTGCGAGTAGTTGGGAATGGTTTCCAGAACCCAAGTCACAAAAGTCGCAGCAAAGCGACCAAATCGAGTGAATCGACAACAAAAGCAATAACAATAACAACACAAAGACAAACATGCAAAGAGACATTGAAAACTTGTATCCTTTTGCCTGAGAATTTCTTAGTGATTTTGGCATTGGCATTGTTGCTGACGCTGTTGTTGGTGTTGTTGGTGTTTTTGCTGTGTTGCTGTTGCTGTTGCTGTCGTTGTTGCTATTGCTGTCGCTGCTGTTGGTGGCCGATAAAGATCACATGTGTAAATCATGTTCTGCACACGGCTGCTCCAACAACTGCGCCATGCATAAACAAGTAGTCGAGCTAAATGATACAAGCTAGCACACAAAACAGATCAGATCACATCCGACCCGATGGATCCCACTAGAGATGGTCTATGTAAATAGGCGTGATCGATAACAGTCGCCTCAGTCGAATGCGATGACACTTGATAACCCTTTCTCAACACATTATTAACGGAAGACAAAACATTGTATGATAATTGGGAACATCGAATTATTTTCTTTTTTACGAGTATTCTAATATTAAAAATATATAGAAAGAAATCTAACCTTTTATTCCTAAGTGAGCGCAAAGGTTTATTGACGATCTCTTATTTCCTAAATGTTGTTAAATGAAAAGCTTTATGTTTTCAACAATTATGTTTATATTGAAAAACCTTCTAAACATGTTTTAAAAAATTTCTGAATATCGGAAAACGGTACATAATTTTAAGTTCTGATCGTAAATATATTTTGAGAACCAAAATTTAGTCACGCGCCCATCTCTAGATGGACACTCTGGCATTTATGTGTTGTCACTTCTATAGGTTTCGGCGCTGTCGTCCTCACTTGAGCGACAGACGCTCCAATGGCCTTTCCAATTCTGTCGTCCCCGCCTGCCTCACATTATCGTAGATATGCACAATGTCTGGTTGATCACGCAGCGCGTCCAAAAATTCCCGATAGCGACGCAAATGGCGCTGCGCCAGGCTTATGTACTGCTTAGCCTGGAAACCTCTCTCCAGTTGTAGAACCTTATAGCCGCGTGACTTCAAGTCGGCGGCCATTGTTTTCATATCTGCTGTTTTGCACTTGAAAAGCACTTTCCCCATGGAGTAGTCTACAATATCGAAGCCTAGGGCACCACATCTGGCGACATCATAAGTTAGCACTCGTATAAAGTCCTTAAATTCGACAGTCAATTGATACGAGACTATAACCTCGATGAGGCCCAGTTCTTCGAATACATCGCCGGGATAATGGAATCGGGCGTTATAGCGACGCAAGGTGGCGCTCAACTTGCGTTTGAACCGCAGGAAATTATCGGTGCGTATTGTGCAGACCAATGAGGCCTCATGGTGGCAAAAATCCAAATATATCACATACGTCGCATGCTCGCGCTCGTAGTATTCACATTCGCGTAATATGCGATGTATGAGATTGCTGGTTAAGCGTTTCAAACGCTGGAACTCGGAGACTTTGGTGCGCAGCAGAGCATTCTCTTGTAAATTGATGGAACCGCCGCCCGTGTGCACGGCCAGGCGCAATTCATGGGCCCAGCCCAGCTCTGGTAATAGGCCCTTCAGATGTAGCCTCTCGGTGCTAGCTGGCGTTAAAAAGGCTCGATCACCATCCGTTGAAGGGCCTTGCTGTTCCTGTCTCTGTTTACCGGCTAACCACTTTGGAGACTTTCCCATATCCACAACCTTAGGTTCAGTCATGCGCTCGAACCCAGACATGCGTTTGGGTTCCACCCTCACTGATATTGTGGTTGTGGGCACCACTGCTGTTGTCTTCAGCGCGGGATTTTTCAAAATATTCACCAATGGATTTCTATCAATAACCAGTGGCGCAGTAGCGGTGGTTGTTGCCAAACGTTTTACTTTAGTCGGTGGTGCTTTGGTTGATGTTGGTGTAGTCAGTCCTATCTGCATGTCCAGGCCATTGCGCCTCAGCTCTGCGGCATCGCATGTCAAGGGCATGTCAACGCTCACCGATGGCGCTGACACCGCTCGACGGGATGTCAGCGATGCTGGCAGATAGCGTAGGTTGTATGGCTGACATTGGCCAATAGGCTGGCTCCTTAGCATTTTGATTTGAGATCAGTTGGGTCAGTTAACAGCAACTTCCTGGCCAATGTTACACGGGCAAGGCGAATTTAGTTTTTGTCACAATTGATTGTTAAGACTCAAGAATTTTGATTTGACTATCTAAGTTTTTTACAGCATTTTTGTTTAGGAATAATATTTTTACCTGCCAGCAGGTAAACAAATAATTGTAACTTTTTACTGACTGTTTAAAGGTGTTTCTAGAGATGTATGACAATTTTCTTGGAGATCATATTGAATTGAATGGGGGGTGATGGGCGCAATAAGAGCTTCAAGTATTCTTAAGACTTTTAAAAAAAACGCACGTGAACAGACAGAGTTCTCGTCATTGGATACACTTACTAACTTTACAACACGATTTCAAAAAAGTAAAATAATCTCGTATAAACTAGTACCTAGGAACGTCCACATGCCAAGTTTGGTTAATGTGCGCTTAACTGTTTCCGAAATCCAGGCGTTCATCCAGACGGACGGACATGATCGATTTCTCTCGTAATGCTAACCAAGAATATACATATATACACGACAGGTTCGGAGATGTTTTGCACACCGATTCCTTTCAAAAGCGATAGTTTCTACAGCAGCTATATAATAATCAGACTTTAACTAAGCAAAATATTTTAGCACAAATGCCTTTCAAATATTTAACAGCTTTATAAAACAAGCCATTATTTTACACAGACTCTTATGTAACTATTCTGTTATTTTCGATATGACATATGAAAAGTGTTCTGATTTGTTTCAATGTTTAGTTTATGTTGAAACCATTTACCATTTTAAAGTTGGAATAAAAGTAATAAACGTAAAGATATCTGATCGGGGAGTTATTGCTGATATTATCAATTAAATATACCTCTGCAGATATAGCATATCCTTAAAGGTTTGAGACTAGCTTTTGCTTAAAAAGATGCACCTAAAATATGTATGTAGCTAAACAAAATCATATTTGCTTAGAGCACACACAAATAATTTATAACAAGTTCTTCGAACCACATACAACTGAACCTATTTCATTTTTAAATATGATGTATTTTATAAAATATGCATAGTGTAATTATCTTTGACTTACCGTATCGGCTGCGGTCAAATTAATGCCCAGACCACCGGCACGCGTTGATAAAAGAAACACAAAGATATCGGCACGCGTTTGAAAATCGGCAACCATATCGCGACGCGCTGATATTTTGCTCGAGCCATCCAGACGCATATAGCGATGTTTGCGATGCCACATATACTCCTGCAAAGAACCACACCCAGAGTTTAGTAATTCAGTTTTTTCGAAACTTATTCAAACGCACCTCCAGCAAATCAATCATTTTGGTCATTTGCGAATAGATCAGTACACGATGTCCCTCCGCTTTAAGACGCGTCAGCAGACTATCTAAGACGAACAGTTTGCCTGCATCCGTGATTAACGTCTCCTTATCCGGCACTACAATCGATGACCAACCGCTGCGGGGCTTGCATAGAGTCAATCCGGTGGTAACCAGCTCTCGTCCCAAACTATTTTCGCATTGTAGATGACGTAATTGTGTCCAAGCAGCGGCGCGACTTTCACAGCTGAGGGAATAATATTTGATTAAAATACGATCTTTTACAATACCTTTAAATAATAGTTAATCATTACTAAGTCCTAAGCTACTATATATTTGACAAATTAATTTAGACTCACAAGTGACAAAAGCACCTAAATTTTACATTTTTTAAGAGTCTGTTTTGGTTTTAACATATATTTGGGATTTGGAATCGCGACGAAAACGTTAATTTACGGAAAATTCTAATTCATTTGCTTATAACTGTTCAGTATTGTCGATAGGCTTGCTTTTATCCTATTTATGTCTAACCAATACTTACTAGAGATGACGCTGCACAGCCTGCACACGCTGTCCCAGACCATAGAGAAATCGTGGCATTTGTAATGGCTCGCACTCGTAACGTCGAGGTTTACGTGGTCGATGCGGAAACTCGGGTAATAAATGCAGAGTTGTGACTTTAACATCACTCTTGGTGTTGGATTTCGTTTGAACCTCCACAGATTCAATTTCCAATTCCTGTTTAATGGAATCTTCACTCTGTTGCGCTTGTTGCTCGTCCTTCCCCATTTCCTGAATCAGTTTGGTCTTTTGCTTGAGTATTTTGGAGCGTATAACGCGGTGTTCAATGGTCTCCTGCATATTGACAGTGAGATAGTCCCCAAAGGCATAAACACTGCTCTCATTAGCGGTCTACAGATTAAACAGATGAGACAAATTAGGAGAGCTGTGCTTGTTGTCTATTTAAACACCCACCATTGCTGTAAAAATAAAAGGCCGCAAGTCGCTGTGACTAGCCAAATAATCCGTCATCAGTGTGCGTTCCAATGTGGGCTCCAGCAGTTGAAAACGGGAGTTATGTTGGAAAGCCCACCATTGGCGACGATAGGCAAGCAACGCGTATTTTACCAGAACTCGTCGATAATGCAGCAAACTGTAGAATTGTATCAAAAATTGTATATACTCTATAATTCCAAGACTATCAAGACTTACAATGTAATTAAGCCATTCAACGTGACATCTTCCATATCGGCAAGAGACAAGTCACAAAATCGCGTAAAACTAAAGCAGCTGTTAACATTTCTGTCCTCATAGCTGCCACCAAACAGGGACTGTTGTATGTGGGCCGATTTAAAGATGTTGAACCTGCAAATGAATAACATATTTAGAAATTTTGCTAAGCAATATTGTCATCTTTAAAGAACTAGAGGCTATCATAATTAGTTGCGCAGGAGCTTCAAAGGATTCTTTGTTATTGAGACAACTTTTACTTTAACATTATTATTTTCGTTCTTTTAAGAACTTACATATACATATAATACTCTTCAGTTCTGATTTAATAGGGAAGTAACTCGTATGTATGACTTTATGTTCTGTTTTCAATAAGCTGCTGTCATTTTATTTGCAATACAACTAATCAAAATTATTATATTGTTCTGCTGGTGATGTTTTAGAAAACATAGTATTAATTTATACAATCTATAGACTGTTTTTATTGACAAATTTGTTAAGGTAACTTTATGTTCGGTATTTAAGGGTAAGCCGAGTTATTGGACAAAAAAATGACTTGCTGTTTTTTTTTTAAATTTTCGTAGATACTAAAATAACCTTAAAACCGGGTTTCAAAAAAATTAATAACGAATAACGAACTAAATTCCCATTTACCAAAAAACTAGCTTTATGTGTAAAGCTCGTACGCTTAGACCATTTTCATAACCAAACTAATTCAAGTTTCCTAGAAAATGTTAAAAATTAGCATTCAATTCTTAAAGGAAGACTTTAGACTTTATAAAGGATTTAGTTCCTTAGAGGACATATTATTTCCATGGATTTATATATTTTCGACCACTCACCGATTGTATAGCAAATGTCGCTTGCTAGGCAACGCATGCTGAAGCAGGCCATCATTGAAGACCAGACGGGGTAAAACATACTCTGCACAACGCATGCTAAATGGACTTTTGGCATCCCGTCTCTCGAACAGCTCCGGATGGTTACAAACCTTGCGAAACTGCATAACCAAATTCATCAGATTTGAGGTGAAATTGCGATCGACATGTGATCCATCAGCGGCTGAGGTGCCACCGCCTCCATTGCTGGCCAACTGCAGCAGATCCTCGATGCGTATCTTCTGCTTCAATGCCATATACAGCAGTTTCTGGCGTATTGTGAGTGGACAGTAGACCATGATCTCAATTTTGTCAGACAGCTCGTTCTCCACATCTTTCTTGATGCGACGCAACATGAAGGGTTTCAGTATCATATGCAGGCGAGAAATTTGCAGTTCGTCAATGCCAGTCTTGTTCTCGGCATGCGATTCAATATCCTTGGAGAACCACTCATTGAACTCGTCATGCGAATCGAAGAGCGTGGGCATTATGAAATGGAGCAGAGCCCACAACTCTGCCATGCTATTTTGTATGGGAGTGCCGCTTAGCAGAAGGCGATTGCGACAATTGAAGCCCAGCAGGAGTTTCCAGCGCTGTGAGGCGGCACTTTTAATGGCCTGCGCCTCATCCAACACCATATATTGCCATTTGATGCGGTTGAAGTACTTGTAGTCCGAGACAATTAGTTGATATGAAGTGATAACCACATGGAAACTGGCCTCGCGTGTATGCAGATGTTTTTGCTCCCAGAATTGACGCAATATTTTGCGCTCATTCGGCGAACCCCAATAGGGTACCACATTGAAGTCGGGCACAAAACGCGCCATTTCCTGTTGCCAATTGTGCAGTGTGGAGGCGGGTGAGATGATTAGAAAGGGTCCCCAGACGCCATAGTGCTCGGCGATGTGACAGAGGAAGGCAATCGATTGGACTGTCTTGCCCAGACCCATTTCATCGGCCAATATGCCGCTAATTCCCTGATCATAGATATTGGCTAGCCAAGTCATGCCCTTAATCTGATATCCTTTGAGTGTGCCTTTAAAGAGCTTCGGTTGTGGTAAATCCTTGACTTGTGGCTCCTCTTTTATAATCTCTTCCCGTTTTACAGGTACATCGAAAGCTTTCGCCTTATCCAAATCCATTTGCAGAGCAGCTTGGGCATTAGCCTGCGCCAACTGTTTCATCTCGTCCGCATCGTAGTCATCGTAGGCAGCCAAGCGAGGATTCTGCTCCTCATCCAACTGATTTAGAATGCGTAATTGATCCGCCTCCGTGCCTTGACCCAATTTCTTAGACATAAAATGAGCATAGAGCTCGGTCTGAGTGATAAGGAAGTTGAGTTTTCGCTGCTGTCGCTTCACCTCGATGAGCTCCACATCCTGTTTGCGTTGCTCCTCTGCTTCGCGTTCCTGCTTTCTACGTTGATCACGTTCCACACGCTCGTAGCGCTTCCAATAGGTCAGCATTTCACGTGTCAGTCGCTTTGCCCGCCATACTGTCTCCTTCATAGTGCGCTGTGAGTTGATGGCGCGTTGACGCACCACCTTGGCGCACATGCCAGCCACACGCTTGCAATTAGCCAGCATCTCTTTGTGATTTGTGCTCTTGATACGCTGCAATCGACCTGACTCCTTCTTCGACATGATTTGCCAAATGCGACGTCGGCGAGCAGCCAAGGCCGCCGGATTCTTTCGCTTGCGACGCACACGCGTCACCTGACCATCGGGGCCGCCCACCACATCCACCTCCTCTTCGACCTCCTCCTCCTCTTCGGGATAGTCGGCAAGTTCACGATTATAATCAACCTCGCCATCAATGTCACCGAACTCGTCGTCCTCATCATTGCCGGGCAGTGTATCCCCAAACGTATATTTGCCAAGCTCTGAGGGTGGCACTTCTCCCGATTCCGGTGAATCGAGCAAAGTGCGCTTTTTGCGCCCCCTTCGTCGCTGCTTGGGCGGCTTGGGGCCCGCCTGCGCCTCTGCCAGGCGTGCCAACAATATTTCTTGCTTGGTGCGACGTCTCCGTTTACGGACGCCCGCCGTAGCTTGCTGGCGTTCAGCGAAAATATCATGATTTGACAGCAATCCGCCAGAATAGTACGCATATTGCGCATTCTGAGCAATGTCACAAGATACGTAAATCGGTAAAAGCAGTCCTCGGGTTGTTACAGACATTTACTTACCGTTGCTTTTTTGTAGTAATTCTTGCGCTGCCGCTGGTCCCGCATGTGTTCCCGCAGCAGCTGCTGCACATACGCATCCTCGTCGCTCAAATCCGTTTCGCTGTCTGTGTCACTTAAGAGCAAATCATAAAGCCATTCCCGATCACTGGTCAAATCATTGAAGTTATAAAGCTGCGTCTTGACGCTCTGCCGTTCTGCGAAATCAACCATTAAGATGGTTTTATGAATTGCAAATTCATATTAAATTGCACACTCACCCTCTTTAGTGCCCAGCAGTTGACGGCGTCGTTTTTTGTTCTTAACTTTTACAACGCCCACTGTGGAGGAGTTGTCTGTGTCGCCAGTAGCGGCATCCTCGGGAACACCGCCGGCCTCCGTGGGTATTCGTTCCGGTTCCTCCTCCTCCTCGGCGCTGCTCAGTGGCTGCTTCAGCACTTCTCGTGCCATGGCCATGAACGGACGCATATTTAGCGCTGCCTCCAGACGCTGTTTGGAAATTCGTTGACATATTAAATAATTAATATGTGTTAGCTAGTGTGCTAAAGTTACCTGAATGTGCAATGGGGCGGCCATTTGACGTGATTTTACATTGTTGGCATGCATTTTGAGACTCTCTGGACTTTGCCGATTACCTAAAACTTTCACGATAGCGTCTAATTGGCCTGCACGCTTCCCCGATGCAAATTTCCGTTACTCTGTGGCGCTGCAAATTGCACTTCGAATCGCAATTCGAAAATTTCTATCACGTAATAGCACAATTTTCGCATACGATGCGTACAATTTTTTTCTTCTTGCTTCGCCCTGCTTTCAATGTTTTGCACCTCTGCTTTGTACCACGCTGCGCACCCACATTTGGATGGCAAACAATATAAATTCTCTTCATACATTTTTCCGCGCGAGTCAGCTGTTTTTGCCGAATGCTTCGTGTTTGACGTTTGGACAGAGCTGCATTTTGGCTCTACAGTGCTGAAAATCATTTAAACTGAATTCCCTTTTCAGCCTTAATATATGAATTAATGCATTTACTAATACTCAATTGTTTTTACATCCAATGTTTTTCATCATTAAATGTTTTTCGTTTAATAAAAATTGCATTCTGAAGTTAGATTTCAAACAAATGTTATTTATAGTGCATGAACGCGCGCGCGCATCATTGTGCTTACGCGCCCATCTGGCAATATTAAATTAATTTGGTCAACGCTTTCCAGCACTCTTAACCGACCCATAACAGCTGTGGCAATGGCTTGGCAAACCGGCTTAATAAAAACTATTTTGGATGCTCAAAATTTAATTATATCAACAGACAAAGCTGTTGTTATTGCCGACAAATATGCAAAGGCGCGCCATCATTATTTGGTGCTGCCAAAGGAAGACATTGCAAGCATATTCCAAGTAAGTTGCAACATGTTGCACATTAGTCTGAAACAAATAACCAATTAGAGATGCGCCAAAATCACTACCTGTGATGAGTTGCTAAAAGTCACTGCGTAGTAGCCGCAGTTAGCCGGCAATGCACTTTATAGTAGCAGCGCATAATTCACAGTTTTTCTCATCACTAATAGCTTTTCTTTATTGCATTAAGTTAACGAAAGCGCATCTTCCGCTGCTGGAGGAATTGCATTTGCTCGCTTGCAATATTATCGAGGTACGCGGTGAACAATTCGATAATTTTAAAATTGGATTTCATGCACAGCCGAGTATGCAACGTTTGCATTTACACGTCATTTCAAAGGACTTTGTATTGGATGGTTTGAAAACCAAAAAGCATTGGAATAGTTTCAATACAGACTTCTTTTTATCGTACGATGGTAAGTTTCGTTTGAAAAACGTGCTCAGCACCACGCCCTGCATTTTCTAAGAAAACAACTGTTTGTTTTTTAAAAAAGAATCTTATGAATTATCAATTAAATGTTTCCCAGCCCTCTACGCTCAACTGTCTGCTAACGGCTCTATACACAGTCTGCCGAAAAGTTTAATTGATGAACTACTAGCGACCCCTTTGAAATGCAATCAGTGTGCGTTTCTAGCGAAAAATATACCAATTCTAAAGAATCATCTATTGGAGCACTCTCAGTCACTCTAAAACTGTATTGGTCGTTTTACAGCACTGAACATTTTATTAAGTTTGTAAAGTTTTTTTTGTTTCCTGTCGCTGTAAATACTTGTAACCCATCTCGAAATGGGGGCTATACAGAAATATGAATATAGACGTGAGAAATTGACACGCGAAATGAAACAAAAAGAAAATATAATTCTCGAAAGCGATCGTACCGTAGTCTTAAAAGATAAATACCCGAAGGCAATGTATCATTTTTTGGTGCTAACGAAAGAGCAGATTAAAGACGTAACAGAGGTAAATATATTACACAAATTTGAAGCAAATATGTATATGTTATTGTCTTGTTTATTTTTAAGCTGACACGCGATCATTTGGATTTGCTTGATCACATGATGGAAATGGCGAATAAAGTGATTGAAAGGCAGGATGAGATACAATCGAGCCACTTCCTTATAGGCTTTAAAATGGAACCATTTATGTGTCGTCTAAACATGCATGTCATCTCAAATGATTTCTTTTCACTGTCGTTGCGTCGTGTTCGCCATTGGAACATCTTCAATACGGATTTGTTTCTAAGCTATCGTGCTGCCTACGCTATGTTGAGGGTCAAAGGGTCTATCGAACCCTTGCCCCACGATAAAGTGGAGCAGCTGTGGGAGGCCTTGCCATTGAAATGCAATCAATGTGATTTCACTTCAGACACTTTGGTGCAGTTAAAAGGCCATTTGGGATATCACTGGCAGCAACGACAGAACAAATTGCACATTAATAAAGTGTTGAAGATGATGGATGAAGTCAAGTTGAATGACGCACCAACTACAACGACACTGAAAGCGGAAGATCTAGTGAGTGAAATAGATAAATCCAACGCCATTATGCCAAATGATCAAATCACTACAAAGCCAAAAAATTGCAATCAAAAAATCAAAATCAATCAAAATGCTGGGCAGAATGAACAGCAAAATCAGGCATCTTTTCGTCAGCAATCTGGTTCTAGCAAGAACTTTCAAATGCAAGGTGCGGTTCCAAAACAGCAGCAATTTCAGAAGATTCATCACCATATGCCAAATGGAAAACAGTTCGAGCCCAATCAACCACATGTACCTACGCATTTCAATCCGTTTAAACAGACCCCACAATATGAATATCATTTGAATTCCGAGTTCAATCCATTTCCACAACACTCAGCTCAAATAAATGCGGCGACACCTATTGGAAATCCGCCTACCGGTTTCCGACCCTTTCGGCAATATATGGCTCTGAAAGGCTCTGATTCAACTGCACCCAATGGAAATCCGAATGCTTTTAAGGGCGGAGCAAACTGGAAGCCCCCGAATCAATATAAGAAAGGTCCGCCCGGACCGAATCAAAGACAATTTAATAATCAGCAAGAACAGCAGCAGCAGGCACATCAAAATACGGCCGGAAGTCAAAACGGAAAACCCTTTATAAAGAAACAGTGGCAACCGAAGCAACCATATAAAAAAAATCAAGCTAAAGGATCCCCATCATCCCATGGTAACAAACAAGAAAACTCTCCATCCGATGGTAATCATCAGGGTCAAAGTTCAACCCATGGACCATCTTCCATGAATTTCAATACCAAGAAGTGAAATTCCAAAACACTTTTCGAATGATTATAAATTGAAATTTACACTTTGATGAACTATTGTTGTTATAGAGGTACTAACAAAAGAATTTGTCTACGTTTGTAATATTTTCCTAAAAAAATTTTTTAGGTTAGTGTACGGTTCTTATATTGACCAATTTAAATATTTTAAAATTACAAATATTTAATATTTATACTCTGTACATGAAATGTATATTAGGTTTGCGGGAGCTGAAAAATTTAACAGACAGAAGGAGGCGTGGCAGACCCCACAAAGTATATATATTCTTGACGAGACGAATCGATCCCCTGTCTGTCTGTCTGTCCCTATGAACACCTGGATCTCAGAGACTATAAGTGCTAGAGACACCAAATTTTGCACAAAGATGCCTTATGTGTGTACGCTATACGAGTTTGTTTTATTTTTTTGATTTCCCACTTCCCCCCTATGGGGGTTTTCCCGATTTTCCATTAGTATAATCGCCCATATCTCGGAGACTATAAGACCAAAAAAAATATGTACAATTTTCTTTTTCTGCGTTTTTAAAATATTTTTTATAGTTAACGTATTCGCTTGTAGAAACAGATGTTTACATGCAGCTCAGCTACAAAATCGCTGAGTAATCATTTTTGGCGCGCTCAAGTTACTGTAAACATTTCTACAGATCAAAAAGTCGCCTCATATACTCGCTCAGTTAATCTAACTCTCTCGAATCTAACAGATTAAAGCTCTCAGAGAAAAGTGACACAGAAAAGCTTTTAAAGCTCGTTTCCAAAGTTGTAATTAGAGGGAAATGCAGCATACATTAAGGATGTAAATCAAAGGGAAAACATCGATGTGTTTTTAAAAAAATCTATGTTTAAAAAAAATAAATTTTTATGTAAAAAGAGAGTCATAACGGGAAGAAAATCAATAGAGATGTTTTAAATCAAAAATTTTTAGAAATCAAAAGAGGCTGTCATTGTATTTTAATGTTGTTTACTAATAAAGTAATCGTAATCGTGACTTTTAATGAACTTGTCTGATTTCCTTAAAAATAAACTTATATACAGTTTTAAAAGTTTGTTTAAGTGTGACATTATATACAAATGAAGATCAAATTATTAACAATCTAAAATGAATAACAAAAAAAACACATATTAATGAAAACATAAAAAAAATTGAAATACAAATATACCTTCTCCGCTGAACTGCACAAATAAATGTGGCCGCCCAACAAAACATGAACAATGTTCGATTTGTAGACAAACATCGAAGGATCGACGATGTATCGCAAGAAAAAAAAATTTGCACCGTGTTAAAAACATTTCGATGGTCAATTCATCGATGTTTTTCTTACATCCCCAGCCTGCATTATTACTAAGGCGAATTAGTGTGAATTAGTTCTAATTTGTAATAATATGTATTAGGCCGAAGCTAGAAAAAACGTTCATGAATGCGTTACAAACATTACTCTATAAATATATTCGATAAGAATTATCGATTAAGACCAATGCATTATCGATACACTCAATGCATTAGCAGTAGGGATGTAAAGAAACATCGATGTATCGAGCATCGACGATGTTTTTTTTACCACGATGCATCGATGTTTTCTGATGGTTTTTTGCTAATGATGCATCGTCGATCCATCGATGTTTGTCCAAACATCGAACATTATTCATGTTTTTTTGGGTGATGCTTTCATTAAAATGTGTATTTTGTAATACTTGTATACATTTTAGATTGTAAAACATTTGATCTTCGTTTTTCATATATAATGTCACAGTTAATATAATTAAAAAGCGTAGCTAAAACGCGTCGTTGATTTTAAAACTGTATATAATCTTTTTTTAAGTAAGCCATACAAGTTCATTAAAAGTCAATATTACGAGCACTTAATTGATTAAAAACATTAAGTAAATTGCTATGACATTCTCTTCTGATATATAAAGTTTATATTATAAACATTTCTTATTTTAAACATCTGTGTTGATTTTCTCCCTAATAGCCTTTTTTTCTATGGAAAGTTAATTTATTAAAACATCGGTGCATCGATGTTTGTATGCGATGCCTCGACCATGCATCGATTTTTTATAAAGAGACATCAATGTACATCAACACCGATGTTTTTCTTTCGATTTACATCCCTAATCAGCCCTGCATGAAGTTCTGCCCGAACTAAAATAAAACTCTGTGATTTCCAGCTAAATAAACGGGAAGACGAAAAATAAAATGGCAGAGGCTGGAGAACAAGAAAATCTGGCACACGAACGAGGCCAGCTGGTTCGCGACTTGTTGGAGGGTAAACATATAATTATGGAAACCGATCGCGCTGCTGTGATGAAAAGCGTAAAACCAAAAGCACAATACCATTTCCTCGTGCTGCCGAAGGAGGATATAGCGAATGTAACTGCGGTAGATATCAACAATACGTTCCTAATGAAGATAATGATGAGTTGGGTGCAGATAATAATTTGTATTACATACTTATATTGTTGCAGCTAACACGGGATCACTTGGATTTACTTGATCATATGGAAGAATTGGCAAATCAGGCAGTGGCGAAGTACAGCGCGTTCCCATTGAGCAATTTTCTAGTGGGTTTCAAAATGAATCAGTTTATGGATCGCCTCAATATGCACGTCATCTCAAATGATTTCTATTCTCCCTTATTGCGTGGCAAACTCCAATGGAATAACTTTAATACAGAGCTCTTCTTAAACTTTGATTATGCTTGCGCCCAGCTGTGTTGTCGAGGCTTTATCGAGCCTATGCCTGCGAAAAAACAGCACGAACTTTCTCTCTCAGCTCCAATTAAATGCAATCAAAAGGGATGCGATTTCTCTGCGGATAATTTTTTTGCATTTAAACCCCATATTGGTTTCCATTGGGAGCAACGAAATCTTCAGACTAGCGAGCAATATGCTGAAGCACTGGAGATGCTGGAGAAAATGCAATTGGATAACCCAACTGGCCATCACCGAAACTGGCGATCCGCTAGGCAGCAGCCCGGGCCAATGATACATCCCGCTCAGGTAAATGTGGTTCGCCTTAACTATACTTTAGACAAATAATGGATTTTTTAATGTAATTAAGGGCAAGCAATATTGGAAACAGAGGGGTCCGTCTGGGTTCCAAAATCAGCCTCAGAAACTACAGCCTAAGCAGGAGGATTATTCTGCAAAACCCCAGGAAGCAAATGGCAATGCTCCCGGATCTCAAAAACATACACCATTCAAGCAGAAGAAATGGAAACCAAAGCCAAAGAATGAAAAGAAAGAGCAGGAGCAAGAACAGACTGCATCGCCAAAAGCTGGAGCTCAGCAGAAGGAACCGTCCGCTACAAAAACTGTGGAAAAGCCATCTGAAAAGCAAGCTGAAAGCTAGCCGTAATCAACTCTCAAATATATGAACATTATAGAGAGCTAAAAGGCTTTGACCTAGTTATTAATAGATAAGTAAGTACTATATGCTTGAATAGTTTTCTACAAAAACATAAACGAAATGTTGAATAATCGAAATACGTTTATTTGAACACTCACTTATTGAGACGAAACGGTTCCACGTTCTTGATTCCTTTTTATTGCAGACTGCAACTAAGCATCTAAATTCTGATTTCCGGTTACTTTTTTTTTATATATCGTGTACTGATACAACTATTTTGCATTTTAAACACAAGATGTTTGGAATATTTACTGTTTCATAAAGTTATTTACGAAATTAACTGGAGAATAAATAATCTCTCTGGCGAATCTGAACTGAAAAATTTAACTTGCCAAGATATTTTGGAATTCCTGTGAAGTTTTTTTTAAGATTAATTCCTATAAGAAACATGATGAACATGAAAACATAGATTAAAGAATTCTAACGATATGTAGTTGAAAAGATATTTATTTTGGAGATGAACTGCTGAATTGCACGATGAATGAACATGAATATTTTTTAAAAGATGAAAAATTTAATTAAAACGTTTTCCAAAAAGTTGATTTGAATTTGTCAGCATACGTTTTAAACATAAATGAAGTTATACTATATGTGTTGATTTCTAATAAAAATCATTTGCATTCAGATTTTCAATAGTATTTATGTGATTTTCTAGGCAGTTGAATTGATAGCAATTTTTATATTCATTATGAAAATCAGAACAAAGTCAATAGCCGGTCAGCTACTTCGACATAATATCTTCAGTGCCACGACCTTGCCAGCCAATGGGCATAAATTTAGCGTAAGTTTCGTTCAAAGTTTTGATATATGCCAAATACATACATCGAAGGCCAATGGGTTTATTTAAAGTTTGGCAAAACTGTTCAGCTGTTTAATTAAAAACAGCAACACGTTTCTTAAATCTGTCAGAATCAACGTCCACATGCGTGTTCCCTAAAGGAACCAATAAATATTCTGTTCAGAAACTTGAACAAGTTAAACAAACTGCATGTGCAAAATAAGTATTTGTGTACTTAAAAAAATGTTGATTTTTCTTTAAAAAAAATTTTACAAGTAAATTGGCCAGCCCGCGGGCTATGTGCAAAGATTAGATATTTTAAAATATGTGGATAACAAAAGTTAAAGAGCAAGGCAACCTCTCAGCAATTTGAATGTTCAATTAAAGCAACAAGATTCTATTTAAAATCCCTGAAATTATTGGCAGGCATAAAAATGGCTAAATGTATGGCCAGGCTAGCCCGCCGACATGGCTAATTAAACGCGGCAGCGAACAAGTTCAGAGGCAACAGCAATCTCTGTTAACTCGCATGGGACGCATTTAATCCTGCTTATTACTCTACGTTGTGTGGGTGTGTGTGTGTGTGTGTGTGTGTATGTGTGCGTGAGTCCTTGGGTGAGAGGTAACTTAACTTCAAAGCCAATGTCATAGTCAAGTTCTAGGCTTCAACTAAATTTAGAGCTGCTTATGAGCCCATTAGCATTTAAGGTTAAAATGAACTGAAAACGCTGAGCTCTTCCGAATAAGTAGCTGGGCCCCAAACGTACAAATTATTTAAATTAAATAAATTATTTAAAGTGCTGACGCCCTTGACACAATTTTGAAGCAGACGGAAGTCTGAATTAAACATTAACTGTTGAAATTTCAAATGCTATAAGCCAAGAGGATAAAGGGTGAAGTTTCAAGTTTCAAGAAACATTTACAACATTTGAAAAATATCTTCATCAAGATGAATGAAAATCGAAGCCAATGGCGCGACTAGGATTCGAAAAGATTCCATTTTATGAGAATGAAATTGTGAATACTTTACTTTAATTTAAGAGGGGAAGCTATCTTTTAAACTTAAAAGCTGTGCAGATATTAGGAACCGAGGCAAATACATAGAAGAAATTGTCTGCAAGCGAGAATCTTTCACTGCAAATCTTTATAAATTAGCAACAATGGAAATATATAATAAAACTAGTATACCATTTAACACTTTGGGTACAGGATATAAAAATATATAAAAATGCTAAACAAAAATCTGTTGACTTTAAAACGTGTGTTTATAAAATGAGTAACAAAGTAACTCGAGTGTTTAAAGGATTTGAAAATATTTCCGTAGTAAATGGAAGCAACGAATTGAAGAATTGAGGAAGATAGCTCAGCAATAAAGAGTAAGTTTCGTTGAAAGAAACGAAACAGAACTTTGTTGAGAATTTGTTACTTTTAAGATATTTGTAGGGGCTTGATCCGAAAATAATGTAATAAGATCTATTGTAGTTTTCATAGTGTTTCGAAATATATCTTTATCGCTGAAACTTTTTAAATTATACGATAAAAAGCGATTCAATAATATTAGATACGCAGATCTAAGCCCATTCCACTATTAGGCCTCTATTGTTGCAGTATTAAGCTAATATAATTTTACACCATTATTCCTTTAATAATATTTTATTATTTCACGACTATTTCATTGCTATTCCACTGTTATCACACTATTGTTCGACTTAACACTTTGTGAACCGAATAGCTCATTATTTCAGTTTCAGTTACTCAAAGCTTGATCGAATGCTGATGTAGAAACGGGCCTACATTATTTTAGTTAATTAAAATGTAAACTGTCAATACAGCCTGCTTCCATGAGCCAGACCACTGAGCCCTTTAAAAAGGCCACCACGGCTGGCCCATTAAGTTATTGTTAAATGGCCAGCGGCAAATTTGCGCTCAGCGTTTTCATTAACTTTGCGACTTTACAAAGCCGAGCGCTGTATAAACTAAATGAGAACTAATCCACTTGGTGGTGTGTTATTTCACTAGAATCTTGTAAACAATAAGCTACGACCAGGTAGCCATGTCGTCTAATCCCTGCTTGCATTTTAGAGCACGTACACAAAAATTACAACTCCAGCAACAACGGCAACAACAAATTGCCCGCTGTGTGCGCAATAAACAAAATTCAAGGCAACAACCCTGAGACAAGGCTGACGCTGACTTTACTTTTCTGGCTGTTGTTGTTGCTGCTGCTGCTGCTGCTGCTGTAATTTAAACTCGACGCTCTCAAATGTGTTTGTGTGTCACAGTGTCAAGGTGTCTGGTAAAAAAAAAAAGAAAAAGTGAACCAAAACAGCGGCAGCAGCAAAAAAGGGCGAATCAAAGCTTACTCAAAAAATGTGAGCAGTCCCATCATTTATGGTTTGAGGAGCACCCCCACATTTGCCCATCAACAGCCCCATTAAAGCTGTCTTCCACGCCCGAGCAAACATTTTGGCGCATACTACAAAGCCTTGCCACCTGTTTGTTATCTGTTCCAAGCAACAGGCCATTCATAAAGCGCGCCTTACTGTGCTTTTGAGTGAAAGAGAGCCCAGCGGTGAGCGCTCCCAAGCTTTCGAAAGGGGTTGCTGAGCTTTCGAGTGGAAAAACATCGCACAGCTTTCGCACCTTCAAATGTCACGGAGCACGTGGGTGTCTTGATAACATTTGGATGTTCGTGTGGGTGTTGCAACGTTGCCATATTTCAGCATATTACAATTACGGTTTCAAATGTCGGCGCAAAAAAAGGTTAAATTGATATTATCGCAATTAAATTATGTTGCGCAACCTAGGATATTAAAATGGTTCTTTTAAAACGCAATTAAGTTTAATATTATAACTAGAAAGTAAGTAACAGCGCACAAATATTACTTTAAAATTCAAATGAATTATTGTTTGATATTTACTCAAGAGGGAAGTAAGAAATTAAAGGATATAAAAAGAATTTATTTATAAAATGAATAACGAAAACTTTGGATTGCATGGGAATGCTTAAAAATAAAACTCTCAACTTAAAAATAAAACTCTAATTAGTCTGCCAGCAGATAATTTGTTAAAATCGGCCAACTAGATCCAGTATTTCCTGTAAGTAGCGGACATAGAAACGATCTACCGATTCTACAATTTCTTCTCCCTTTTACTATTGTAGCGAAATTGGATGTGTCGTGGTTCAGTATTATCTATTAACCTAGAACCAAGTCAGTTTATAAAATCCAACAAAAGCGCGTATTAAATAGTAATTCCAGTCCACCTTGGGTCCTTTCAAACAAACAATCGACAATATATGGAAATTTTATGCTCCAAAAAGGCGATCGTTAAAGAAGCTAAATGTTAGACTTTGTAAGCTGCAATGGTTTTAAAAGTTAAGATAGCAAGCAACTAATCCGCTTTTTAGTACTAGCTAACAAGAAATTCTTAAAAAGTTTGTTACGCTATTATATTTGAGAATAAAATGCTATTAGTGCCGTCAATTTCTCCTCTTTCATTCGCAAAACTAAGATGCAATAATTATTTATTAATGTTGTTGATACTGAGCAAAATTTAATTGCCATCTCCATAAGTATTTGATGTACAAAACTAGTATTAGTTACAGAAATTGATCGAATTAAACGAAAGTTTGCTTGTGCCATAAAAGTTTCTTTGCTTTATTTTCTAAATCTAATACTTATATCGAATCAGGCTCTTCAAAATAATGCTAACTGAAATGAAAACACCGGTCTTATTGTTTGAAACTCTAGCCTTATATAACAACATTTAATTCATATTATTTAAACTCCTGCTACCTTTGCTACGCAGTGTCTATTTTTTCCGACACTTATGCTATAGAAATCGTACAATAGTTTAAAAATATTGGTGACATTACTTAGTGCCTCGATCAAATTCAAATTGTTTTTATTTAAACACTTAAACAAATATAAATATGCAACTGCATTCAAATTAAAACAAGTTTTCATGCACAAAACTTAATTTTTTCTGGCATGCATGTTAAATTAAATTAAATTCAATTAAGGCCAACCACATAGTTTCACATTTGTGGTGAACATAATTAATGAGTGTTATTTACATTTAAACTGCATTTAATATTATACTTTAAAGGCAGTGTTTAGTTTTTACTTTCCAAAAAAACAACCACAAACAATCACATAAACGCATTTATTAAATGGCCATCAGCAGCACATGCTCACTCATTCTTTATACCATTTTAACATGAAAACTCATGAGCACTGCCACCTGTTAAATATTCAAAAATGGAAATTTCGATTGTTATGCCGCCCCCTCTCCAGCATCGTGCCATCGAACCATCGTACTCTGCAGTTGGCATTGTTGGATGCACAGGCGAGCTGTGCCTGCCATATAAAATGTTATTTATATGCTGATGATTTTTGTTGCCGATTTTACAGAAGCATCTGCAAAAATAGCAAGAGAAAAAATACATATATGTACATATATATGTATATATGAGATGGAAATACAATGCCTGTGGGTTGGCTTTATAGCAGATAATCCTTTTTTGAGGCACATTATGACAAGGCAACAAAAACCAACAACAAGGACGGAAGAAACAACGACAACAACATGAACTGTGCGATTTAAGCAATTTGCACATTCTGCACAAGAACAACAGTAACAAGAATAATAATAACAACAACAACAACAACAAAGAGTGCCAATAGTAATAACTTTTCATAGCGCGTCATTCTCGTTAAACGCCCCCCAATGAACACAACGGCTATGGAAGTCAAGAGGAAGCCTCGAAGTGTGTGTGTGTGTGTGCATGAGTGTGAAGATATATATACATATGTCTAGGGTCTCATACCACTTGCTCTGAATTACATGGGCGTGCTTCAATAATTTAACACTGCCCTGCCATTTGCTCTGCAATTGTTTGTTCTGCGCATTTCCCGGCTACCCTACCCTCTGCATTGTCTATGTGTGCACTAGGAAATAAAAGTGTTGGAAAGCGCGTAAAATAGTAAACCATATGGTTCAGGCATCGTTGGTGTGTGGACATTTTCAATGGTTCTAATATTCGAGTTAAAGAATTTGTCAAATTAATGAAGTATGTATAAAGAAAAAATAAAAATGCTTGTCGGCTTTTGTTCTATATTTACAGAATTTTTTCCAAATCAAAAAGGCGGCAGCCCAGCCCTGGTAGCCATGACATCGATATGACATTATTTCAGCGATGAATTGGCAAAAATTACCTTTTTTTCCCCCTTTTCTCTCCTTTTCGTTCGATAGTTCGATTATTAGTAATGCTCAATAGCTTCGATGGCCTGTTTATTGCTTAAAACATCGGGCTTCTCAGAATGCGTTTCAACCGCAGACTCCATCCCTTTATTGTTGCCAATCTCTTAGAACCATTTTTTCAAGTGTGCAAAATTGAAATAGTCTGAGAGTTCTCGTCATTTATTAGTTTGCCATTTGTAGTCCTGAGAAAATATAATAATAATTTCCATACAAAAATGTTGGGTTGTTATAATTTTTGTAACTCCGTTGAATTCTGAAAAGAAACATCACATTGACGTCATTTAACTTAGACCTTACACCTAAGACCTAGAAATATTAAACAAGTCTTAACATAACTTAATTATTTAGTCAATTATAATCAAAAATCGTACTAATATTCAAATAAATTACTACTTTTTATCCCCAAATGCATATTATTAATATTTTTGTTAGTAAATAAAATCCGCTTTTGATTTCATAATTGATTGGGGGGTTTTTTTTTGACACTAGACACATATCTTGAATAATACAAAACTCATTATTCATTTATTTTGCTTACCTAATCGGTAGTTAGAGAACTAATCCTAAATTCCTATGTTATTTTATAGCCAGAACGACTAAAGCCTGCGGGCTGATTTGTTCATATTATTCAGCGTATGTTTAGTTTAGATATCGGCATAACAATTGCCTTTATATTCAAATTGTTTTAAACGGTAGAATTATACTTGCAATTGCTTTGATTTTGTGCAGTGTAAATCCCGTTTATGCTATTGTCGCGGCTTAAGGCGCAATTTATGTTACATTTACATATACATATGCAGAACGTGAGGCGCAATCCTTTTTAATGCACAACACATGTTTCCCGATGTTGCGTAGAGTTCTTCTGTGCCTGCAGGCAGCAGCGACACGCAACAAACGCACACAACTTAAATTTGATGGGCGGCAGCTGGGCGGCTACGTGGCGTATGAGTAATATGCCAATTTCCCTTTCTTGCATTCTCCTGTTGCGTTTTGTCACTTTCTCGCGCTCTTCTTTTTATGATTTCTCGTTGCCAGCGGTGTAAAAATATTTTATGCGCTGTCGGTTATTGTGTCACTTGCTTGCGACATTGCGACTGCATTGACATTGCGTATACGCCAACGCGGTCGGCGGTCCTTAAAGCTACTAAACCCTAGCGAAATGACAAGCAAATGTTTACATTGGATGACGTGGCGTCAGAGAAGAAGCGTGTTGGCGCAAAGGTTGAAAGCCAGTGATATACATTGTTTTTTTTCCGCAAGTGATAAAATGTTAAACCAAGAAGTAGCTGCAGGTGTAGCTTTGGCAGGTGTGTGGGTGTTGGTTTTAAGGAACAGAGAACGTGTAATGCTGTCAGATATGGAGGAAGAGTGGCGCATGTTGTACAGGGAATGCGGCGAGGACTAACAAGGCATAAAGTTCTGTTGTGTTCTGCGTTTTATGACTTGACAGAGTTACGGCTAATTATGAGTGCAGGCCAGGAATAGGATCTAGTTAGAAAATTGGGATAGAAATGAGCAATTTTTAAGCAGAATTTATCGTAATAATTGTTTTAAAAAAATATGCCTCACTGAAATTTAGTCATATAGTATAGGTATTTAAATGTTGCTATGCATATCAATGGCAAATAAAATAATTACAAGTATAATACAATTTTGACAGAAAACAGCTTTTATTTTGGATTTTAATTGTTAAAAAATGGTTCTTTTAAGACAATTTGTTGAAGATTTCGGCAGTATAATAATTTTTTCTAATTATGCAATTTATTGTAAATAATTTAATAACGCTTTTACATACAAAAAAGAAATTCAACCAAGCATCTGGATGGATGTAACATATGCAAAGAAACGAAGATAACCAGAGACAAATGGTATCAGAACGGGCCAATTCTTAGGGTCTACCTACCTACCTACGTAAATATAAATTAAATAATTATATACAACTAAGCACAATTGAGTTGGAAATATTAGAAATATTGAAAAAATACATGAAGGTAGTTAATAGAATATGGGTTATTGTCTGGAGTTTCTTGTAATGTGGATATTCTGGATATAGAATATGATTGAAAACCTATTCGTACCGAATTCTCATAGCAAAGTACAAAGTTGACTAAATTGGTCATTTTTAAAAATTTCAAATGAAACATTCTATATTTCAAAAAAATGCAAAAAGTTGTATAATTTTTATATATTTTTGGTATTGTTCGCCAAAAATCACTTCGTTTTGCTTTTTTTTTTTTAAATTTTCAAACTCTTATCGCGCTTTCGAAACAATCTTCTGTCACTTCTGTTTAGCTACATTAAATGAAAGATGGATGCTGGAAATGCAAACATAGTTGTACTGACACTTAAAACGCAATAACTTCACTTCCAATCGATGAAATGTTATGACAATCTGGACAATCTGGACAATCGATAAAGATAGCAGATTCTAACGCACCAGTCGACATATAGATAGCGCCACCAGGGGCGCTGTTTACTTTGGAACGCACCTTGTACTTTTATTTTTTGAAGAAAGGGTTCCAAAATTGCTAGATGCCGTTGGAAACTCAAATCATTTTTAAACTACTGATCTATATTGACTCCGTTGTTGGCCGTAAATCGTTTAATATATTTGACTCTCTCCAGGCTATTTATCAGTTTTTGCAGATTCCTCCACTCTTTTTCCGAAAACTAAGCCAGAAGCAGTTACAGGCATGAGATTTAATTGAAATTAGATTTAATCCAGGTTTAACCCATTGTTGCGTTGGATAGCTAGATTTTCAAGAGACTTTTTTATAAGCAGTGTCCTCCTTTAATTAAAGAACCGCTTTCACAGGGACTAGTCCCCTGAATTATTGATGTTAAGGTGTTGTATATGGATGCCTATAGGTCGGCAGCGTGTATTGGTTACCAAGCTGGGAGATTGTAGCAACCCAGATATTTGTCTTTACTCATTTCCTGCCACACCCTAAGTCAACAGTAATATTGACACAACTACCAACGAAAAGAACAACAAGCAAGTGCTGCACTTTGCTCAACAAGTGCACTTTCTTAATCAAGAGAAATTGCTTTTAAGAATCCCCAGTGTCAACATATTGAACAAATTGTTTACCTGAACTTACGTCCACCATCGTCTGCCTGCCAGCCAGCCGCCATTGTTGCACCACAGTTGCTCGTTACACACTTATCTTAGTTAGGACCAAGTGTCACTCAATTTGTCCGGTGCTCGGACATAACAATGGCATGGAAATCAACAAAATGAATGGACGCCTACGTAAAAGTTCTATTAATGTAGTTGCAAGGAGCACTTGTATTTTCATATTTCCTCAATGCAATTGCGAATACAAATGGCGTCGCAGGAAGGACATGACACGGAGCTTGGCCAGATTCATGGGTATGCTCTGCCCGACATTTATGCTGCCCAGATCCTCGCAATGTGAGTAGCCTGCAGGCAGTTAAAATTATTATGCAACTCCATGCTTTAATTGCGGACGGCCTCACCCGGTATGAGCAGCGCTTGATGTCCAAATTGTTTGCCGAGGGCGCGCCAGGGATCGAGTTCGCCATGCGTAAAGAAAACTTGCCGGTACCTTACGGTCTGGTTGAAGTTGAGGCCACCGAATTGCGCATTCGTCTGTGCAATGCCGTCGGTTAAATGGGCTGCCGTCTGCCTCCGCCCGAATGCATCCCGGCACAAGCACTCGAAGAACAACAAAGGCACTTGATTGGCAAAGTCGCTGCTCCCACTGCCAGCGGTCGTCGTATACCAGCCGAACTCATTGCAGGTCTGAAAAAACCAGGCACGTGCTGTGTGAAAGGATATCTTGAGTGCTTTGTTGCCCTTGTTCAACAAAATATTAAATTTACTGCCTGAATTTTGATCGCTCAGGTCTGTGAAGAGCTGCAACATGGCCTTGTAGCTAAAGTCCAAACAATTGCTGCCATTCTTGCCATAGAGCAGCTGGAGAAACTTAAACATGGCCTGCTCATCTGTGGGATGTAGGGACATAAGCGTCTCACACAGGTCTGGTATATAGGAGCTACAATAGAAGAAATCGTGCTACTCTTTAGATTCATTTAAATCTAATTAGGCTGCCCAGGACTTCCTCACCTGTAACTCTGCACAATGAGCGCAAAATAATTGTCAATACCGTTAAAGAATGCCGCGCGATCCAGCTGATCCGAGACATTAAAATGTGGACAGGCATTGAGCTGCTCCAGAACCTCACGCGACTCATTCCCATTGAGTATGTGGGCCAAGTATTGTAGACCCCTACGAATGCGTTGCGTGCATTTGCGGCCATATCTCAGATTTATGGAGTTGCTAACCATTTCCATGTATTCTGAAAATATTCAAGTCATTATATGTGGAATTCAATGACACTAAGGAATACCATTAAAGTCCGCTTTGGCCAAGAGCGGAGCGCTGGAAGCCCAACTGGCATCGATGAGCTCGGGATAGAGATCCGCCATCCAAGCCACCATGCTGCCGGAGTAGGAGCCACCCACCAAGATGACTTTGGCATTTGCGAGATGGGCTGAGTGGGACTTTTGATAGCTTATAAAGTGTGCCAGATCGGCTAAAGCCTGCCTCACACTAAGATATTCCAGCTGGCTTAAGCTGTCATTGCTGCTGGGAAATATCATTTAATAAAGCTTCAATCTCATTTGGCTTACAGTCTACCCCAATGGCCAGCTTTTGCCGTAATATCGGTGTTCCGTATAGTACAGCATGCCGCCATTTTCCACAGCCATGTCATGTGTTAGTCCTGTGCTTAAAAAACCCGGCGATATTGTCCATTCACCACCCACAAATATATAAATGGGGCCCAGGGGTCTATGGTATTTGGCATTGCGAAGGTAACGCTGCAAATGGAAGAGTTGTAAAGCATTTCACACGAGTAGGTGGAGGTCATACCATTTGCCAGGTCTGATTATTTGCCTCATCGAAATGATCCAGTTTCTGGGTCATCCAAAGTTCCTCCACCTGTGCTGCTTCGTGCTTCGAATAGGCTCCAGAACTGGGCTCCTGCAGCAGCAGTTCCAAATTGCGGCGATAAGGATTGGAAGCTGATTCGGCGAAAGAGCAGCCAAGGAGGCACAGCAACAAAGATTGGCACTTCATGGTGTGGAGAGCTTGAACTGAGCATATCAGTGGGGCCGCGTGGCTCTTTTATGCCAAATGAAGCGATTGCCACCCTTATGTCAGTATGTTGTTATGCTAATTATGACATTTATAATGAATATGCATATTGATGAATGATGTTAAGTAAAGGTTGCCAATTACTACTATAGACTAATAAGGTCAGTTGAATGCTGATGAGTTGAAAACTGTGTGGGTGCTGAAATTAAATAAAGATAATTACTTGACATTGAATATAGCAGCAAAATTGTTTAAGAAAAACTTAAAAAGTGGGAATATATCCACAGTTTTTAGCAAAATCTATTCTCTTTATTTTATATTTTAAAAATAAAAAAACTTAAAGAAAGTTTTTAAATATGGAAATAGAGGGACAAAGTAAGAATATTGTACTTAAGATTTAAAGCAGAGTATCTGTGATCCAGTGCGAGGATACTTATAACGAAAAATTGTAGAGATATGTTCTGACATAGCTATGAAGAAAAGCTGCCTTACAATATTCATAGTTTGGCTATAAAAATGAATGGAGTAGAATAAACAGACTTTCCTTTCCTTTCTATTAAAATATAGTGCAAGACTTTCTTACATAATTGATTTCTTTTTCACAGCAATCAACAAATCAAAGCAATCGGGTATTGTTGAATTTCTGTAAAATAATTTTATCATATTTTTCTTTATTAAACAAAAATGTCTACTTATTTTTGGAGTATACCTTACTTCCACTTTAACGCAACATTAAATTGCACATTTTACTGAAACTTTTAAAAACAAAAACTACTTAGCAAGCTCTGCCGCACAAGCATGCAAATTTTTTTTTTTTTTTGCATTTTATTTTTGTTGCCCGTGCTGTACGCTAGAGTTTTTACATTTGCATAAATAGTGTAAAACTTCCTTTCCATAAAATATGAATAATTATGTATAAAATACCAACTTCTATCTATCTTAAATAAAAAACGTTGATATTAGGACTTCCTATTGCATAAATAATGTAAAACTTTCTTTCCATAAAATATGAATATTAAGGCCTCCTTCAAAATAAAAAAAATAAAATAAAATAAAATAAAAGTTGCATATAGCATTGCATATTTTTTATTTCAATTGTACGAGTATATTTAAAGCATTGACTTCTTAGTTTTTACAAAATTATGGTTTTGCATGGTTTTGTAAAAATACATGGGTTTCTTTTTAAAAACAATAATTTTTAAACTACCAAATCGTTTGATTTGGTTTATGAATTTTTACAATTTCGTTAGTGCGGAAGACAAATGTTTATTTTGTTTCTAAAACTAAACAATAAACACTGTAGTACTTATTTTACAAAATTAAATGCCTGCCAATTGTTATAAAATTGATTTCAAAAAGTGAACATAACTATGAGTAGAATTGCATTTGCAATCCAAGCATTTAAAAGTTTATAACAACTTACGAGTGGGGATTACATTGCTGGGGTTAAAGCTTTACTCTCACATTCTCTCCCTATTCCTCTCTCATTCTCTCTGCCCCTGCCAGCTTTGAGTGAAACGTCAACTCAGTTGGCAGCACATGTTGGGGAAACATCGCCAGTTGAGCGCGCATTTCGTTTTGAGCGAATCAGCGGCAACATTTGCATTGCGTGGGCGCCTCGGAGGGAGCCGCGTTGGCAAACTATTGGATACAGCTCGGCTTGGAGAAGTGTGCGTGGGCAGTAAACGGGGCGGGGCGGTGGCCAGCTATGCGCTTACTGCTGGCTGCCTTTTTTAGTCGTTGCTGCCTTCTTTTTTCTTGCCATATTGCACGGTGAGTGGATTTTGCGCTCTAACGCTCCTGGTTGCCAATTGTGGTAGCTGTGGGGCGAAATTATAAGATAGCATTGGGTTATATTTCATTGTGAGGCATTTCATTGTGTGTGCCGGATAGCAGCAGCACCAGCACCAGAAGCAGCAGCAGCAGCATGTGTTTTGGTTTTTGCCTTTCAGGAAGTAATAACATGGAACGCGTTGCTTCGTCGAGCGTATGTTTGTGATAAGAGAGCCAGAAATGTGCACACTAATTAATATATGTTGGTTCATTTATTTGCGAAATTACACGAAACATTCCTTGCCATGTATGTGTGTGTGTGTGTAGACGACATCAAGGCTGACAAAACTCTCTGGTTTCATTGCAAAAGGATTATCGCATTCGCCCACAAGCCTCTAATTGGCGGAGCAGGACTTGACCTTTTACTTTGACATTTTTCCACATCATTAACGAGACCTACAGATGTGGTTTTAACTGACTTCTTAAATATTGAGAGACTTAATTTATGCAGGAGAAGAGTTCAAAAATTGTGGAAAGTGAAAGAGCACTATTAGCAATAGTCTACTTATTTAATGGTTTAATTATATGATTAGTAAAATGTTTCCTGCTAAAATGTCGAGGCATTACTTACAATATATACTCACATATCGCTGAAAAATATATTTAAATGTAACTCTTTAAAAATAGGCATCTCCGATAGTTAGGCTTTCAAGATCAATTATAAGAGTTAATTTTTGAAATGGTTTTGTTATTTCTTTCACAAATTACACAATATTATGAATAATTTAAAGAGCAATCATAAATAATAGTACCAGTCGTTACAACGAACCGCTAATAGCTCACTGCAGCAGACTCGCTCGGACTTTTCCATACCACAGGCGGATCTATTAGATTAGGCCATATATGTCTCAACTAACTTATTATACTCAACTTTACCTTATAATTTATTTTATATTTTTTCACCAATTTTGCAGACAAACTTTCTGCTTTATCATTAAAAAAATAAACAAATAAACCAACAACTCCAAGCAATTGAAATCAGAGAACCTTTAATTTCTTGTAGAACTATATTTAAATTCCTTTTATCTCCATTCAAAATGTGGATCATGTTAAGAGGCAACCATAAATAATAGTCATTCAATAAGCTTCTTAATAAAAATTAAATCAGATAAGTAGCTTACGATTAGTTGCCGAAAATCGTTGATTTCTTATAGAATCTAAATCTTAAAAACCTTCTTTCCAATACTCCAATTTTTATTTAGTTATTGGAAAGAATAAAACCCGTGTGCTTACATATTTCAGTTTTTTTAAGCTCCATTGAGTTCTGTGTGTATCGGCACTTAGGCTAAGCTGCGTATATAAGTCTAATTATATAACAAATTCTGCTTTCCTTAAAAATATATATCGTTTTTCAGTTTTTACTTTTTTTTTTGTGCAATGCATTTTCTATAAAACTTATATTTAAATATATTTGTATTAAAAACGGGATTAATCCATATTAAGGGCGGCTACTAGCTTGTGTCTCTCTTAGTTTATTTCAAAAAATTTAACCAATAATCGTTATGACTAATTTCGCTGAGTGTAACAACTTGTTGTAATATATGCAGATAGCACCAACATACACTCATATATCACATTTGGCGCTTCACAGAAAGAAAACCACGAAGAGTGGCTGAAATACCACAAGAAACGGAAAGCTGCCGGGCAAAAAAAAAACATCTGCCAGAACGAGTGAGAGAGCAAAAAGGCAGCAGTTTCTGAGCCGTAAGGACGCCTCAACGCACGCTCAAACACACACTCTCACAAACAAAGAAACAAACGACAGTAGAGCGTGGGCGTTGAGCGTTGAGCGTCGAGCATCGGAGCGTCGAGTTCGGCATTTTGAGTGAAAAGAAATGCTTAAAAGTCGCATGCGAAGCGCTCAATGCTTCAGTCGAGTTTGAAACTTACACTCAAGCGGAGTTGTAAATAGTTGTTCGAGTTGTTGGCTCGTACTCAAACGTACTGTAACAAATTTTATTTAAAGAAACTATTACATAGGCTATATACACATACAAACAAATAAGTAGAAAAATGAAAATTTGCATTATACAAACACAAAGAAATGCATAAATAAATATTATGTTTTGTATTTGCAATTGAGGCGCGTGTGTTCTCATATATATATGGGTGTGTGTGTGTGTGTGTCTTTATATATATATATACATCGGTGTGTGTGTTTTGTATACTTTGAAGCGAAAGGCGCGCAACAGTCCATGAAGACATGAACGCCAGAAAAAAGAAACAAAATAAAACACATAAAAAAGGGCGAGCATTTCATGGCGCTGTATAAATTTAAATGCGTATATGTGTGTGTGCATTGGTGTTAGTGTGCCTGTACAAAGTATTTTACATGCCGCTTCTCATCAAAGGCAAACAAAAAAATAAAAATAATAACAGCAGCGTAGAGAGCAAAATCAAGTGACAAAATTAACACAAAATTTTTACAACAAGCATAAGGGCTTGTACGTGTGTGTTTGTGGGCGTGTGTGTGTGTGTGTGTGTGTGTGTGGTGGTGTGCCTGTGTGAGTGGTAGCATGTTGCTATGTTGTGTGAAAATATTTAACGACAGTAGACTGCTCTTATGAGCGTACCTACACACTCACACATATACACATAACATTCATCGTCCCAGTCCACACACAGCTTCGTTAGTTAAGTCATGATTCATGTTGCGTATACGCACAATATGTGTGCGTGTGTGTGTGTGTGTGTGTGGGGTGCGTGTGCTTTGAATAACAACACACATTTTATTGTTGCCTACTTTTGTGCGCTGTTGCTATGTCTACATTTAGGTTACAGGCGGCAGCCTACGGCGACCCCTCTCGCCCCCTCGCACATCCTGCTGCTGTTAAATTATGCATTAAGAAAGTCGAAGAAAAACATTTTGCAAAAGAATCATTCCTTTGTTTTTGGTTTTCGGGGCCGTAATGGAAAAGCCCGGTGAAAATATTGTGGCCAGTAGTCACAGTTCTTGTTGTTTTTGTTGCGTTTGTCCAGAAAACGTAGTAAATTATGCAAATTAATGTTTGTTTGTGATTTTGCCGGTCTCTGTCCTATTTTTGTTATTCATGCATTTTCGCCCAAAAGGTATTGTTATTATTGTTGTCTCGTTTGTAACACAATTTTCTGGGCACACCAAAACGAATTTTGTATCCTGCGAAAATTAGCTTTCTTTTACATTTTTTTTTATTTGTAAATCATTAAATATTTTTTATTTGAAAAATAGTTTTACATTACAATTCAAGAAATTTATTGACCAAGTTAGAAAGTTTTTGATCTGATCTTGCTTTAATGAATCGCATACGTAATTTCAATTCAGTTTTGGAAAATATATTAAGATATTAAGATTGCAATATATTGAATTGGCTATAGTTGCTAATGAAAAGTGAAATGAAAACAAGTTAATTCTTTGGCTTAGCTTAGTAAATACTCGTACGTAAGGTATCAAATAGTCGGCTTGTCAAGAAAATTGAGTTCCTCTTAGCACTACTTCACCTTTGTTCTTGTCAAGAATTTTTCATCATTCAACTTGATAAGTTGTTTCCAGTCCGATGCTCGACTTTATGACGGATTCGTCGCCTCATTTACTTTTTAAAGGTCACACTTGTCTCTGTGTATAGTCCATTCCGACTTATTAAAGCAATTTGTGCCGCTTTATTTGCCGCCATTGCCGAGTCCATATCTCACATACTTTTCGTTTGCCCTCCTCCTTAGTATACAGCACTGTTTTCCTCTATTCGCACATACTACTTATATGTATGTGTGTGTGTGTCTGGTGGCTGTGGATTATTGACAAAGTTACGCACTCATTCTATTTGGCCATATTGGTCGTCTAGGTTGGCTGTTAAACGCTGAAACGAGTCTTAAAACATTTTCCTTGTCTCACACCCTATCTCTCTCTCCCTTTTCTGACTCCCTGTCTCTCTAGTGTATATAATTTAGTGGAAAATTGTGTTTCCCCAGTCGCTTGGCAGCCGCTGTTTTCTGTGCTCTTCTTATTTGAAATTGCTTATAAACCGGTTGCGCAAAAGTTTTATTTTTAGTCTATTAAAGTATTTTATTTCGCTTTTATGTGTGTGTTTGTGTGTGTGTGTGTGTGCGGGGTAGGGTCTGACGAAGTTACTTACAGTATTTAGTTTATGTTTGCCAGGGAATTGTCAAAGAAAGCTTTACGATGCGGCCCTCGCGGGGAATGAGCGACAAATTTCCAGCTAAAATGTCTTGCATGGGGGTTGTTTATAGTAATTATCGCGCTACTGCATTCACCCAACTTCATTTATTTATGTTAAGTTGGCTTTAACTTTATGGAAATTCTGCTGAACTTTGTGTAAACCTAAAAGGATTACATGCAGTCTTAGGGACATGACAACGGCTCCGAGTTGAGTGAGAAATTGCCGGGATTTATTCATGAAAATATGTATCTCATTGAAATGTTTGTTTTGGGAGATTGTTGAGTTCTCAGACATGAAACGAATTTGAAAACATTGTGTATTTTTTTCTTGCTTTTTTAATTATTAATTTTACTTACTTAGCTGCGCAAACATTCCTCAACCTGTGGACCCATACCCATGGAATTTTATATAAGCACCTTCTGTTGCGTGCCTCTGCAAATACAAGTATGTTCTGTGCCTATGGGCTTCGACCCATGTTGTTATGCCCACATAATTTTACTGAAAGTCCTTTTGAGTACTTACATAAAAGTATGTAACAATATTTTTAGGAGAATCCAACTTTGTCTTATCAAGACACGTTGGGGCTCGCTTGCCGTATTCTCTGCCCTGGAGGAAGTTGCCTGTTTGGCCTTTAAAACAAAGAAAAGGATCACAATTACGTATATATAAAAACTTTTTTCATCATATTCAGGCCTGTTTCCGGTCCCTTATTAGATCAACTTATGGTGAAATGAAAACGAAAAACGATAAAGTAATTTATTTTTATATTTGTTTTTCGGAATTTGAAAAACGCAACACTTTCGTCTTACCTAAGCCCGCTCTGAGCGCTCTTCAGTGTACTTTATTTTCTCTAATTTATATAATACCTTTTCTAGATATCATAGGAACCATAACCTTTCTAAGCTGTGAAAATTTTGCTTGCTTTAACATTAACTCATTTTTAAATATTAGTCACTATTTTTTGCATTCTTTTAACATCTTGTTTCTCTTTTGTGTTACCAAATTGTCGCTCCGCACTCTGTTTTCTTTTTAATGCATATTGTCAGCTTCGAAATCCCACACTCTTACAGCCCTTATGAATGATCAAGCTATATATCAAGTTTGTCTACAAATTTGTCCTTCTCCTTGTCAACTGGAATGCAAATGAAACCATTTTTTTCGGCAGCTGAAAAAAGTTACCTTGACCAGACTCTATGCTGTCGTCAAGGACAGCGTGGAGAACTTTTTAATTCAAATGGAAAAAAGAACAAAAAAAGAGGGAAAAATGACTAAAATCTCCACTTTCACCAGCCAGCCTCTGTAGATGCGTAAAAAGCAAGTCTCAGAGTGAAAGCAGACTAATTAATATGCCGCCGTTTATTTTGGTCGAAGGTGACTTTCATTTGTTGAGCAACCCTCCTAAACCACAAGCCCACCATTTAATCCCAGTTGGGGTAGGAAAAACTTTTTTGCTCCTTTTGTTTTTGTTTTTATATTCTTTGCATGAATTCATAAAGTGCACAAAAAATTCATGTCTACTTTTGATTGCCAGAAAGTATGATAAAAGTTGCGACTTGTTTGACTTCACTTTGTTGAGGCTGTTGAGCTCATACTCCCCCAAAGAACCCTTACCCAGTGTCCCATTTGGCTATATATGGGAAAAAAGGGTTAACTTGGCTATAATTAAAGGTTTTTGCCAGCAGCTTGGCCAACAGAGAGCCTTTTCATTACTTTCTTTGAATCTAGAAAATTGCGGACAGCAGCAGACAGGGATGGAAGCGAAATCGAAAACGAAGTGATTAGAAAATAAAGCACTGCAGTTGTTGGGATTTTATCTTTTTTTCTGAACTAATTTTGCAAACTAATTTGTGATCTAGAAAAAATATGACTTGATTAGGTAATAAATTCTAGAGTTGACAATATAGCTGATTCAAAGCGTTTATTTTATAATCAATAAGAGCTTGATTCTGTTTAGTTTCAAGTCTGTTACTTATATCTTGTCATTGAAATCATGGGAGAATTTTTCAAGATGCAATCAGTTAAGTGGTTCTTGAACGAATGAGGCATGTATATAAACACTATTAATAAAGCCTAAGGACCACAATAATCGTATAACCCCTGTAAATCCAGCTAATGCAGTTAGGATATCGAACATTTGATTTTAAATTATTTGTTTGAAGTTGTGTTCAAAAAAAAGAACATTATTTTTATAAAAACAGCTACTGTTTTCTAGTTAATGAACATAACTTTCAATACTTGAATATAGTCAAAATTTTTACCCATCTGTACAATGCTTAGAATTATGCATTTAAAGATTAGGTTTGTAGTTTTCAAGAATTGTACGCTTCGGACTCCCTAAAATGTTTAAAATTTCTTATTAAAATAGAATTATAAAAGAAGGCATAATAAATTTGCCTTTCAAACCATGTGCCTTTTTGCTTTAGTTTTGAATTTGTTACCATCCCTGGCTTTAACTAAAATCTAGCCTGGGCGTGTTGGGAGTACCCGGGAGAGCCATTAAAAGTCGCCCGAGTATGACAAAATGGCGTGTGTGAGTGTAGCAAGTGTTGAAAGGGTTGTTAAACTCTTTTTTTTATCTTTGGTCGGGTGTGTAATGTGTTATTCCCCAAATTGTTGTTGAAATGTTAAAGTTCGTTAGGCTTATTAGACGCCGGTGCCTCTTTGAGTTCGCATTGGTGTGTAAATTGCTGTCGATTCACATGTGTGCCATACTCGCAGGCCTGACTTACACTTCAGGTGCGTGCTGAGTGCGTATTTGGTGTGAACTTCTTAATGTTGCAATTAAGAGCGCTTGTTTGTTTTAATGTTTGCTGGAGCCTCAAATAGCACCGCAAATTGCCAAAGTTTCAATTGTTTCCTACAAGCAGTTTGGCAGTAACTTATCCCACTAACTATTTATTTGTCTATGCAAATGGCATTGGCATTGGCATTGGCATTGGCCGTGTGAGTGTTAATATTCGTATACTGACCCAAAGTTCCTCGAGTCAAGCATGAATCGTAGAGAGGTTTTTAGTGTGCGAGCACGAGTTGTGGAGAACCAATTTGGTGACAATTTTAGTTGGAAACAATATGCAGTTTCATTTTTATTTATTCGTCAAAAAATGCCAGCTTCAGAATTTAATATATCATTATAATATGCTTGTCTAGAAAGCTATGCCCCTATCCATAGCGATATGTTATAGAGAAACCTTTCTAAGCGGCAGAGTAGAGTAAATGCGAACTAAAAGAACAGGAAACAGAAAAGTTATGATGCCATAAGAGGGCGGCCAGATATTGCGGGATTTTGAATATAATTGGGAACAAGATTGTAGGAAATCCAGATTCAGCTCTAAAGTCTTACAACACTACTTTAAATTAAACACCTATTTCGAAATGTTTCAGAGCATATAATGAAGTAAACCGTGGTCGATTTGATCAAAAAATTTCTGCTCATCAGAAATTTTATATAATAGAATTATTTACATGAAAATTGGAAGATAGTAAATAGATCTTTTCGTCAGGTTTTACCATAGCGATCTGGCCAGGCCATTGGAAACTAAAGCACCATCAGATCTTCCAACAGCACAAAAGAATCAAAAGTTTTGGACCAATTCTAAAAACAATAGTCGGGGCAACAGGAGTGTTCAGAATATTAGTTCTAAAAGGATCAAGTTAAAGAATTATTAAGCTTTGGCTGTTATTAAGCAAAGGATGTTTTAGACAGAAATAAAAACTGAGTAGCTTTACCGGATAGAGAGCAAATACTAGTCTCCCAGTCTCCCTTTCCTTAAAACTGTTTAAAGGCGAAAGGTAGCAAAACATGCTTTAAATCGCGCTAAGTACCTGAGAGCTGAAAAAAAGAGTTCATGGGAATAAAAACAAGAGCTAATCTAAAGGAAGAAGCGTGCTGTTCTTTGCACAATTCGCTGAGTTATTGTGTTTGGCACGAAGCCAACTATCCTTTTCGTCTTGCTCCTTTTTTGCTGGTGAGTTGATTAGCTGAATTAGCTGTAGTGGCTGCAGTAGAGATGCTCAAGCGAGGCACAAGATAAATTCTCTGCCAGCTGCTTATTGTGGCTGCTTAGTTGAGTGCTTGAGGATTGCAGGCAGAAAGAACTGCTGAGAATTATTTAAATAAAGCTAGGTGCGAAGTATAAAACAAGAGAAGGAAAGCAGCTAGAAATTATGCAATTGGCTTGAATAATTTTGAGTATTAGATTAGTAGTCTGAAAATTCTCTTTTGGAATTAACTAATATAGGTACTAAGTACGCCGTAGAGGGGTAAGTGGGGGACAATCGTATGCTAATATGCCTAAAAAACGGATTAAGATTTAAATTTAATTGATTACCTATTGGCAGCCACTAAATTTATACGCAATTGCATATTGAAGGGGTGGTGTTTCTTTATTGAGAAGAGCGCGAAACTTTTAGCAAACGTTTACTTAAAATTTGTCTGTTAATTGCCTAATTATTGGCTGATTTTGTTTTGTTTCCTTTAATACTTTTTCTTTTTTGTAATCATTTAATTTGTTAAATTCTTAGGCCTAGCTTGACCTCCTGGTATTTAAAGTATACGCTGTCTGATATTTTGAATGACGAAATCTAAGTCATTTAAACACGTTCAAATTTTGTTGAAAAACCAATATACTACGATTTTTTTTTTTTATATTTTGAGTGCGATGTGTTGAATGAAATGTGACTGGAATTTTCAGTTTGAACTTTCACTTAGAATTGTGGCCCGATTTGCATCCCTTGTACTGAATGTCAATGGGAAAAACTGTTGTTAATGTGTAATTTTAAACAAAACATCACAATTAATTAGCTCTTAAATTATTTAATTAATTTGCATTTAGCTAATCCAATTATTTCCTTTTCTCATTTCAGTGTAGAAAAATGTAAAAAGTCGACTAACACATATTTGTTTGCCTACAAATTCTTTTCGATTTTAATTTTAAACGACAACCGAAACATAAAATACAACCAATAATAATTAAATACGAAACGTTAATAGCTTGCTATTTAGTAAACGAAACGAAACGTAACGAAACAACTGCAACAAAAATATTTAAGCAAACAACTGCATAAGGCAACGTAACGAACGTAAATTAGGATTAGAGCTAATTTCTGGTGCGTATAACTCCATTAGAACTCAATTAGCATAGGAAGGACGGGCGAGACGGAGGAGCAGCCAACGAAACTGGGCAAAGTTTTGTCCAGAGAGACAACTGGAGGCCACAAATCAAGGTGGTGAGCCAGCCGGCCGGCAACTGCATTCGACTGGATCCAGAGCCAGAGCCAGAGCAACGTCAAGGATAATTCAATCAGTCGGCGAGTTAAACGAGTGAGCGAGACAACCCAACAAAGTGGACAGACAGTTGAGAGCAAGGGAGAGCGAGAAGAGAGAGTACACAAGTGCCGACGGCGGCCTCTGAGAATTGTGCAAGAAGTTTAACGTTGAATATAACTAGAAAACTTCTTCAAACACTCGTATAAAGTGGCAGACGTGCGCGTGTGAACAAAAATACTGAGAAAAAAAAAGGAAGAAGCACAAATAAGGGAGCGTGAACTAAACTCAAGAAGTTGCTGCAACGCAGAAACTTAGCGCGTGTTTTAATTTCGACACGTTCGCTGCTCTTCAAGAACTTCCAAGTGTTTGTGAGTGGTTGGGGAACTCTGAGCTGTTCAGGAGCATGTCGTCATCAATAGTGGCACCACCGCCACCAGCATCACCCCTGGCCATGGGCCGTTTGATTTGGCCAACTTTCGTCTGTTTGCTGCTGCTGCCCATGTTTGGCAGCAATGCGAATGCCATCGACTTGAGTCGCTTGTACGGGCATATGGCAAATCCGATCCAGAAGCGTAGCGGTAAGTGTGCAAACAACCCAACAAAGTCATTAAGATATTCAATACCACCTGCCCTATACGTAATCGAATAAAACCAAAGCATAAAACACGACTATTTTCGTACCCATGCATATCTTAGATGTTTGTGTGTCTCTCTCTCTGTGTGTGTTTGTGGCAAACCAATGAAGCAAAGGGGCAACTTTTGCCACTTATTATCCTTTTTGTTGTTTCCTTAGCTTCATGTACCTGCATACTGAAAGAGTATGTTCAACTATTGAAAATGTTGGTAACATTCAAGCACAAGTCTCGACAACGTATAAATATTCACTCTGTCTTTTTTGGCTGCTCAGTCTACATTTGGAAACATATTTAGAGTCCATTTTCATTTATTTTAAAAGCAAATTAAGTCTAAGCTGGGTGAACTCTTTGATTTCGAAAAGTATAAATGTTAGATAGAACGATATTTATTTATTTCAAAATCAATAGCAAATCTTCAAGTCATTTTTTACAATAACGAACAATTTTGATACATTATAAAACAGAATATATATAATTTTCTGCAACGATAAGTTATTTATTTGTATCAGATTGTGGCTTTCTCCTATAGATGAAAACATTCATCTTAAATATATTGAGTGCAAAAGCATTAATTCGTGTCTTTTAGTGAAGATGAATTAGCCATCGACTTAACTTCTTGGAATATAAAAAAACCAAATCAATGCAGATTAGTTGCTCAGAAATTTGACCATTACTTGTTCATCTGTGCTTCAATTTGTATATAAGGTATGAGGTCGTTGTTTCAGAAACACAGACATCAAACGAGACATACAGACTCTTTTTCTCTTTCCAGCATAAATTTGTTCAACTGTTTTCAAAAGGTACACAATTTGTTTTTAATTGCGGGCGACAGGAAATTTAATAAAATTTGTGCCTTTTACAATACTTTGTCAAAAGATATATTCGATATTATCATGCCATCAACAACAGAACTGGATATATATTTCAAAATATAATTTAAAGTGGCTTCTGTCGTTAATTTTTTAATTTAATTTTTTTTTTATTTATCTACGCAGAACAGAAACCAGATAAAACTAGAGAAAAACAAAGCCTATAGAAATAACAAAAATGTCTAATAACGAATCCAATTCGGTGGGGGAATTTTATTTGCCAAACGGCCCCGATTCAATTTAATCGTAAACATTAAGTTTCATCTAAAAGCTATAAACCTATTGCACTTTGTCTTTAAAACCTGCAGTATTTAAAAAAAGTGAAATTGGAAGTGCAATTCATAGTCACTGTACATAATTTTTCCACCTTGTTTTTTCTCTTTTTGTCTGCCCCCCTATCCCTAATCCGCACGTATTGTTGCTTGCAGTGTTTTCCGGCCATTTATTGATGTCGCTACTGAGCCTTTAATGCCATTAAATAAATTTTCATTTTATTTGCACGTGCAGATCTTTTTACTCTGTTTCATGCCTAGGCTTTGCATTATTATTTTTATTTATTTATTGTATTTGTTTCATTTTCTTTTTCTTACGCCTTTGGTTGGCAGGCGAAATGCGCAAAAGTTTTGCAGTCGCGTGTTTATAGCCTAGCCGCCCAGATATAAATCAGTTTTAGCATTAGCTTTGCTTTCGCTTTTATAAGCCCTTCATTTTGCTGCTGCCGCTGGCTTATGCAGTTTCTTTAATTGCCCCTTTCTAGACGATTTCCTTTAGTGCTCGTTTCGTGTTGGAATTTCAGAGTTAGGTCGCAGTTTTATTATATAATTAAATTAACACTCAGTGCAATAAAATGGAAAAATGGACAAGCATCTGAGGCATTTTAAGTCCGAAGTAATTGGCCTTGTAACTTATGGGTTTTTGAGAAAGAAGAGGGCGGGAATTCTTAATTCATGGCAGTAGTTTTATTATATTAATGAAGGTGGCTATGTGAAAAATAATCCAAAATTTAATACATTTTGCATATTTTTAAAGTAAGTTTAAATATTTTTATTGACAAAAAGAAAAAAGTAAAGATTTGTAGTAAATTAAATAAAGAATATAATATATTGATGTTTTTTAGAGCGAAGTATTGGAATTGGGCATAAATGGAAATTAATTAGCTGAAGACAGTGATTGATTGAACGAAAGGAGATAGATAAAAACTTATTCACTGAAGTGATAAAGTTTTATTTTTAAAAAAGATAAAGATTAAAGTTTTTGGAGAAGAAATTGAGCTTCATTTCAACTTTTCATAAACATGTTCTTGCCAAACTGCTTTGTCTGGCTTGCTTACAAATAAGCAAGGCTCCTTTCTGGAATCGTATATTTCTTAAAAATGGCTCATATGTATTAATACCCAGAAAGCCAACTGTTTACTGCAGAAAGGTTTCCCAGAAATGAATCGAACTTAAACTTAAAGAGCATTAAGAAACGTTTGGAGAAAAGTCTTACAATTACTCAGATATTTCATGGAAAATTAAAATATTAGCTATCGTTATATTTTTGCTGACTTACCTTACCTTACTTACGTTAGTCTTCCAGTCATAAGTAACAACTTGTATTATGCTATTAATTTTCCCAAACTTATCCGGGATTTGAGCTCCGTTTAATTAACTTCGTGCATTTAATTGCCAACAACAAATGAACAAGTCCCAAAACAATTGACATTTGCTTGACTGTGGTAGCAATTAAAGCAATTGAAGCCATGCAGTGAACCATTTTGCAGAATAGCCGCCAGCTTGGAAATAAAAAGGCAAAGATAAACAAAAGTTATTGGGCAAATATTTGCACATTTTGTTGCGCTTTAATTGCTACGAACACGGCTGGCAATATAGGCATGTGAGTATATGGCTGTAAAAATAAACTTTAATTGTGCGTATGAGTAACGGCAATACTAATATTTGCCCAAGCTGTGGAAGGAGCGACGGCATCATTAGCCCGCGCCTGCTGATTTAACAGTCAAAGTAATTAGCTCAGGTTGTACAAATTAAAGGTAAACTTTGCAGACGCCGTCGCCGGAACTTGACTGACTCATTAAACAAATTGTGGGACACGCAGCCTGCTGAGCGACAATTCTCTTGCCGTACAACTAATTTAATTAAATTTCCGGGCATGTGGGCAATCTCAAAAGCAGAACCAAACGAAAAGAAAATATAGCACTGAGCATAGACCAGAATAGCACAAGAATAGAATTTTCTTTATGCACATTAAGCTGTCAACGCAATAGCGTGCATTTTTTTTTCCATTGCATACCTCCGACCCATTCCAAGCGCACCTGGCTGGGATTTTCACTTTCCGGTACGTCAAATGCAGCTCATAATTGCAGTTCAGCGAAAATCCATTACACAAAACTGTCAGCACCACAAAATGGTGGCTGACTAAAAAAAAGCAGCTTCTTGGCTTGCTCGTTTGCCGGTTAGTGCCTGCGGTTTAAAATTTATTTAGTTGGCCATATTTCTGAAGCAGTAGAGTAAAAGTATTACCAGGCATGCGACAGACTCAAAAGGGCTTCAAAGTGATTTCAGGTTCGATTTATATAATACTACATGCGTAACAAAAGTAGATTTCTAGTTTATAGATTTGTTTGCATTTAAACGGCTCGACAGCTTCTTTTTCGAAAACTAAAGTAGTTTACAAAGTTATTTCAAGTTATTTGCATTACAAAAGGCTGAGTTGTTCGATTCGTTGTTAAACGAGCTTTTGACAAATAATAATTAAGTCAATTAATTGGTTTTAAAGGAAATACAATTCAAACCTTTAACTTTAAGGAGATCAAGTCGAAACTAAAAAAAATAAAAACTAGCTAGTTTCGTTACTGAATCGGTTCAATGCAATATTGTTGCTCAGCCCTGACAATGTCCTTGCTCCCTGTGCTTTATCTTCTTTGCTTTTTGCTGCCCTGTATTTTTTATTTATTGTGGTTTGCTCTTGTGCTTGTGACATTTTGGCTTTGACTGCCTTTGTTACTGACTCTTGGCGACTGCTCCTCATGCTGGCCGGTGGTAATAATTTTGAACTGCAACAATGCGAAAACGACAGCCACAGCAATGGCAACAACAACAACAACAACGGCAACAGCAATGGCAGTTAATAAATATACGCCAGACCGCACAATTTGGTGCAACAAAGCGGCAGGGTTGACAGTTTTGAAAGGGTTTCTGTGGCAGTTGGAAAAGGTAATTGCGGCAACTTTTAGCATTTTTAACATTTAAGTGGCCTGTCAGGTATTATGCGCCATACTCCTGTGCTTGATTGAAAGAACAGCTTGTTAGATGACAACAAAGAATAATATTTAGTGGTTTTTGCATAACCGTATTGGTTACTTTTAACACATTTAAGGTTATAGATGTGTTCCTTGTTGAGCTGCTTTAAATTAATTAAATTTTCTGCTGAGTTTCAACAAAAAGATCAAAGTAATTTAACAAAAAGATTTGGTGGTTTTATTGAAACTTTTGACATTTAGGAAGGCAATACCCAGCGAGTATACCTATTTGAACATATACGATTATATGAATGTCAAAGGTAATTATAATTAATTTTGATTGAACAAAAACTTTAGTGCTAATATTTTTAGCAAGCGAGCTACTCTTACAGCAGCTATAATGTTATGTGTATATGTGTGTGTTATGTAATTTTCCAATCTGGATGAATGAAAATAGTTTTTTTAAGTCGCCTTTTACTATAGAATTTTATGACATTTACATACATTTTATGACCAATTGATGTATGTATTACCAAATTTCAGGCTGATAGCTTTAAATTGAACTCAACTTTTTATTGCTTTTGAAAAACGAAATTTGGCTCATTAGTTTTTCACAAAAACATTACTTTTTATTATTAATAACATAGCTAAATTTGTTATATCAGTGCGTTTATTGTGATGGCTTTCCATTGTCTATTGTTTTAAAGAATATTGTTAAAGTTATGTGGAAACTCACAAATTTATTTTACTTACAAAGAAATTTGCCGATGAACTATAACTATATTGTGTAATTAACAACAAACAACCTTCAGCAAAATTTGTTTTGTAAGAACGAC